AGAGGCAGCAGACACGTCATATCAGTCGCACTACAAGAAACCATTGCAGATTACCAACCTTAGATTGCTTCATTCGTTTTAAACAGTGGCGTATCCCGGCCTTGGGTGGATTGGTGGATGGGTGGGTGTGGAAATCAACTCACCCACCCCTCATTAAAGGTGGTAGTGCCGTTCCCGTAATGCTAGCGCTAATGATTCCTAGAATAACATTGGCAACATCTCAGGGGAACTTTCCCCTTCCAATCAATGGTTTTTCAATGGACCCGGTGAGAATATTTGACACATTATTATCTCGACATTCCTATTAAAGTAGTGAGAATAATAAAACTGACCTACTTAGAGCGAGGGAAAATACCGGTACTATTCATTTGGGACATAAAAACAGAAGTTTTATCATTATGACTATACATTTACATAAACCTGGCTTGTGTATGGATGCTTCGCTGGAATACAAGCCAGTTTTAGTATTTTCTTTTTTACTTTGGTTTTGGCAGTAGTGCCGTGCGACACTTTAGTAGCTTACCTTACAATGTGATAATTCACTATACGTTGCTTCCGTGCAAAGAGAGGGTCACATGGCGCGACCATGCATGACCTCTTGTGACCTGTATTTCAAAATTCGTAGCACCTTATTCTTCAACTGGGGTGACGTAACACCGCCTCCTGTCTCTGATCTTCTTGTGCCTGCTCAAATAGTGTGCCTTCCAGACAGGTAAAGTGCGCATGTCGCGACCCGTGGGTCTCAGCCTGTATACACGCTGATTCTGTTCAAGTTGGTCCGGTGCCAGACTAGCCGGTAAGATTAGCAAAAAGGTCGCTGAAGATTATGACTAATGGGCCCATACTATCAACAGCGGCTTCAGGGTGGTCTAGACTTGGCCTAAACTTCCAAATAAGGTTCCTTTGTTAGGCAGAGAATTAAACCCTACATGCTGAAATTCTCAAAGGTTTTAGTCAGATTTTCAATTGCCAGAACACACTTCGCTATTGATGCAGTTTTACTTCGGACAAAACCGATCAGACATTCTGATCAAATCTCACAAATACTTTTCATGGGGTGGAGCGTCGTTGTTGGAAGGACTACCACAAGTTTATGGATATCTCCGTGTGATATAATTGGTCAGGAAGTAGATTTGTCGGTATGTTTTGTATTCCTTCGCCCGACGACTGTTTCATGTTTAACTATATTGTTTTTTAAGAAAATGAATTCCACTCACAATATCCAGCGCAGTAGGTTTTTCGTGATTTCATTTTCTAGACCTCGACGTTGTTCACTGAACACGCAATCAAACATTGTGGTAGGTACTGTTTCCTTTCGATAGGATGCGGGATTGTAAACACATTGTGAAATACGACCAGCAAGACGGTACTTTTGCAGTGTGGCGCCTCGCTTGTTACCAGGCGAGGGCGCTAGTTTACTTGAGCGGTGGGAGGTTTTTCAATTCATACCAAAACCAAAAGCATGTCAAGAGAGGGATATAAGTGCGTGCAGATCAATCCCTAGGGTAGGAATTTATCCCATTGAGGTTTTCGACTCGAAAGTGAATCATTATCTCAATAGATTTTTGTATCAAAGATAAAAAGGTTACTGTGGAACTGCAGCTAATGGACTACGTGAATAAAAACCATCACCTGTTTTATACTGTACTCTCTCAGAGCTGAAACTAGCGCCCTCTGTACTCAGAACGAAGCATTGTGAATAGCATTACAGAATTTTCCACAAAGAGTTACAATACCAATGTAATTCTTTTGTCAACGTCGTTTTGTAAGCAGTCACTAAGTTCATGTTTGCTTACCGATGAAACTTTTTAATTTTGATCATGAACTTGTAAAAACATTCCTAACATTTATACCTTCTATTTCCGAACGAGCTCCACGCCACTCCAGAGCATTTTCAGTTTCACTTCCAAGTGGGAAGTTTGCATATACATGTACATGTATATCCTGTGTTTATCGTAATTTTTTATGTGGAGGTGTGTGAGGGTAAGGGTCGTGTCGCACGGTTGCGCTATTATTAAACACGCAAGTTCTGAAATTGTCATGCGAGGCCACGTCACTCGCTAGCTAGGATAGACACGTTCACTGAATCACAATGTGGCAGGCAGGTATAGGCTCGTACTCACCGGGATAAAAACGGAGCGGGGAAAAGCATACAGTTTCAGTTAAACAGTTCGATCGCAGCTACAGTCAAGAACTTCAGGTAGGCCTACAAATCAATGATTCGCATCACACGGCTACCCACAATTGACATCGACGAAACGAGGGAACGTCTAAATCAGTTGTAAACAACTGGGTTAAATGTCACACGGCATATTGTCTATATGGGAACAATATTATTGGGTGCACCATCTGAAGACATTATCACCAGCACCACCGCAAAGTAGTCTCGGCAAACAGTGTATCTCCTTAAGATTAGCAAAGGACAATGACGGAAACTTGACATTGCTCTGGATCTCCAAGAAACAGTTTGCTCAATGTCTCATCTCAGCAGGGTCAAGTAAGATATAGATAAACTTACCTTGATCCCGCACGTTGACCCTGAAGACAAGGAGCGCCCAGCTTTGTGTGACGTTATTCTCCACCACGCCCACTAAGTACCACAAGTTTCTCCCACTATAGCAAGGCTATATCGACCGAATGTCCACCAACCAAGATCCCAACCTCTCCGTGCAACCTCACATCCACCAGCCTAAGACTGGGGAGATGGCAGTTTACCCTGAGAAGGAATACGACGACAGAAACCATCATGGCGATATTGGGGACAACCTCCGTCTCAAAGAGGACGCGTGTGGCGACCTCGCAGTCCGGTGTTGCCTAGTGGTGTCCTGCGCGATTATCGTATCATCTATCTGCGGGGACACAAATGTTCACATCCCAATTTGAGAAAAATTAGTGAGAAAAACAACAATTCTTCTGCAAGAACAGAACATCTCGGAGGATTTGGACAATGCAAACATATGTTTGACCCTGACGTAAGCATGCACTGTCCATAAGTGTCAGATCATCGTCAGTAACTGTTCATGATGTGGGGCATCGCGAATAATGATGTGCGTCAAAATCCTGCTCGGCAATTGAAATCCACGCCCCCAAATCAATCCTAGGTTCCAAATGACGATTGACACCAATCCAAATACAACTTTACTTCAGTAAAAAAAAAATTGTGTTGAATATTATCTCACGTTTTTCAGTTAGTCTGAACTGTCTTTCATTACTGGTGTATCTATTATGAAATCAAGATCATTATATTTGGAACTTTTACAATCGTCAATATATTTTGGACTTTCGTGCGTTTAGCTATTTTGTTTTTTGTTTTTTATTCTGACAGATGAGCATCAAATTTAAGAGAATAATGTTTCAATTCAAAGATAACAAAGCTTGCGTTTGTGCATAAGTTCATGCACCACTATGAAGTTACAATTATGTGTCATGTAATGACAAGTGACATGAGAGAATGCCAACCAAAAAGTTATAATAAAAGAAGAAGATGAAGAAAACCCTTTGTGAACCGTCGAACTGCACGTGGTTCGACTATTTTTGGTCCTTGCCGATGATGCACTCGCGCAAGACAGTCACGTGGGGAAGACTCCGATGAGCCATTTGGAGCAAAACACCGAAGCCATTCTCAATCTGGTTGGTTTTAACTGACTGGATTTCTCGTCGCGCCTGGACCTGCTGCTAGAATCCTCAATTTATCTTCTTATCAGAATTGCCCTCTGTACTAAAATATGGAAAGCCTATTAGGAGCCCGCCACAGAAAATTGCACCAGGGTCTTATCCATTCCAAGGGCCGTCCCTGGTCAAGTTGGATCTGCGGCCATGAATGTTGTAATCCGCTGGTCGATCCTGTGCAAAAAGTACATGCTCGGTACCGGGTGAAATTCATGGACCTGTATATGGTTAAGCAATGCTTGGCTGACGGACCCTGAGTTCGAGGGAACTTTTCCCACTACAGTTAATCACAGTTCGCGCTCGAACTTAGCTGCGGCGTTTGTGGTTGCCAAATTAAAGGGTTGGCAATTATAAAGCAACTGGGGTGCAATCCTTGGACTGTGGCTGCATAAATAAAAAGTCGTTTGACCCATTTTCGCTCAGCCAAATACCGATAGCCAAAATGGTGTGTCCAGTGTGGTTGCATAACTTGAGCACACAGAATGATTGCTTGGCGTGCATGATTCGGGCCGCCTGGCTTTCGAACAAGCTGCAGATTGTGTTAGGGATGATAAGTTGCTCGTTCCGTTTCGGCCCTCTTGTACAGAAGTCTCGACTGGATACCACTGGAGATTTATACCAGTCCTAATAACATCTACCCTACAGGCTGGGTACCAGTACCCCTGAACTCTTATGCAGACAGCAATTGGGAACCAGCCAGAGCACGGATGGCAATTTACGTCACTGATCTTGAAAAAGTTGCTTTTGGAAGATCAAACACGGTAATAAACGAGGGATACTAGCATGTTTGAGCCCATGACGTCATGGGTTATATTCAGTATAACCATTTTTATCGCAAAGTGACGTCAGTTGTGTGGAACTGGGCAGTCACGAGGGAGATAATGGCACTCTTTAAGCCACGTCACAGATAAGAAAGTCACAAGAAGAAAAACATTTAAAGAGACTTTTTAAGTCGTTCTGTTGTTAACAGCGGAACCAAGAATTGATGGAACCACGACCCATTTTTAGATCACGCTCCTTCGTCCAGTCGAAGGTCTTATATTTAGGGGCTTCAAAAATTCAATTAATTGACAGATTGGAGCCAATACCAGAATTTTAAAAAGGTTTTCATCCAGAGCATATCATTAATTTTAAAATAAGCTTTCTGTTCACTGTAATCCCTGGCATATGTTTGTTGGGACTAAAGGTCTTGTTTTCCTAATCCAGCAAGAGTCCAAACACGTCAGACCCTTATAAATATCACGACAATGTGAAACGGGGGTCAACGAGATGTCTATGATATAATAGGAGGTGGTCCTGACATTAGTTGAGCGGGATGAATAAAACCGAAAGAGCCTCCGACAAGAGCTGACGCCTTTGGCTAAAGGCTAGCGAGACTAGCACGCTTTCAACGCCATTTGGGTTAAAGTTGGCTTTTCAAATCCCGAAAGGTACGTATGAATCTTCCGGGGTGTAAGGGGAGAGGGGTTTAGTCTCAAAGTAGTTATAAAAGAGACCCTAAATAAAATGACTTTTGTGCCATTTAAATTTAGTTTCACATTATTTCTACGTCATTGGTGGAAAAAGCTTGCAGTGTCATTTAAAATGAGGAAAAAACAAGTCGTCGTAAGAAGGCACGACATGTCTAGCCAGATAGAATATGGTGAAGTCCTCAGCTTGAGCAGCAAGGGAAATTCTTGAAACAATAAACTAAATGTTTTGATTATAATGTGTCATCTCTAGTGCCCATTTCCACTCATGTTTTCATGGTCCTACATGCCTATCAGTCTTTATAACTCTGATCTTGCCATTTTTTCTGACATGAAGACCACTGTTCGCGAGTATTCTGACAGTTTCTGATCCCTCTGAGTTGGAGTTTCGGAGTCAACGATGGATAACCCAAACTACAACCCGCACCCCGCTGCTGCAGGCTACCAGGCCCAGCCGGCCTACTCCCAGCCGGGCTACCATTACCCGGCTGCCCAGCCCCACATCCAGCAGCCGGCACCCCCGGTGGTGGTGATGGATCACCACCATCACCACGACGATCACCACCACCATCACCACGACGACTATCATCATCACCATGACGACCATGTGGCCGAGGACGTCTGTTGCGCGGCACTGTGCGCCCTCTGCCTCTGTTGCTGTATGAACCAGAACTGATCCACTCAAAGCATCCCGATGACAAGACTACCACGTGCCTAAATGACGACACCAGGAAGCTACACCAAAGAAAAGATATTCTTCAGTCCATGGCTTCACAAATGTTACCGATATTGTAGTGTGAGATAATAGTTTTCCCACAATAAAACAAGTATGATTAAGTCTAAAAAGATCACAAAAAAAGGTCAAAGCAAAATTTTCATCCCTTTAGAGCAATTTGTTCCAAGGATGGATCGAGGGTTTGGGGCAAAAAGCCAAAAATTGTTTTGAAAAACTAATGAGGAAAAGACATTTTTTTCGCTCCTCTCTTCCAAAAGCAAGTAAGAAGCCCCACATGTAGCCCCACCGCTCAGAGAGGCCATTAATTAAAGATTACATGAACAAGTTCTTATTTGCACTCTGAAATTTTTGTTCTGATCCGCCTTTGATCTGTTCTGCTGTAATCGCTCGTATTATGAAATCTAATTAGCTGCTATTTTTAGTGATCACGATGACTGCTAAGTCTAACTGAACAAAATGCACATAGTTAGCAAGACTTTGTGTGAAAAAGTGATGAAATATCAATGACTCGTGTTTAGTCCCCCAAAATGTAAAATGGCGCAGCCTGTTCATAAAATACCATCGACATTTTTAGCACTGCTTTTCGAAATTTGTCGCTAAAGTCTATTGCTACTGTCAAAATATAAAAAGTGTGTTGAACTCCCCCAATTAAAATGAACTCCTCAATGATGTTTGTGTCGCTGAGCTACCGAAGATATTAGTTTGAGGAGAGAAGGTCAGTTCCATTCCACGAAGCAGGTTGAGAAGAAATGAGCCAAAAGAGGAATACAGAAGATGGAGAAACATTAGTTTGATTTGCCCAATGGGATGTTGCATGACCTCTGGTCGACTCATGGAGGTTGACTCTTTATAACATTTATCATTGTGTTAATTTGACAGGTTTAGTTTCGCATGAACTTGTTATTTTTTATAGCAGCAAGGTAAAGTTTATAACCAACAGTTTGCTTAGAAAGTGTGCATCTGTATTTTTTGTCCTTTTAGCGGTTCCTATTACCGCACACTGTCCACTGATTAAAGTTCAGAAGGCACTGTCTCGCTTTCCTGATTCTCAAGGCTGTTGAATATGAAATGAGTCCATGAATTTTTTTACGGTGTCCTTCGCAGCATAGACATTTTGTTATCATTATTGTTAAAGTTTGTTATTGTGATGGTTGGCAATCAATTTTAGGTCTGTAGCGACTTCATGACTAGAGGTATGAGCCTCTAGCTGGACCAAGAAAGGGAGTAATTTTCTTAGCAACGGAGGATCCTTTGGTTGGAACTGAACTGAACTGGTGGTTCACAAACGGTTGTGAAATGCACGAGTTACGGTCGCATCGCTACCAAGAACTTGATGAACACTCCCCAACCAGTATGGCTCTTCTCAGCTGATGAACTTCTGCTCTAGACGGATAGTGTCAGGGTACAATATTGCAAGTAGGCACTCTTGTGTGGGGGGGGGGTCGGGGGACTGTGCAGCAGGCCGACATTACATTTTTATCGGCCCTAAATTGCCTGCACCACCGTACGACCAAATCACGGTTTGCATGCTATGCAGCATGTGTGCGGCCCGTGGACTGGAGGGTTTTTTTTCTAAAACGAGATCGGAAGCCACATGCAGAACTACCAAGTGGTAATTCTGAAAACTATGAACTGTGAAAGGGGTCCCCGGTTCCCTGAAAACTGAATATTCACCCAATATTGCCAGCAACAGGCACACTAGTGGATACAGATTTCGCGGATGCCCCCATCCCCAATCCATGCTGCCATTGAAATACACTTCGAGCGTCAACCTCCAGTTCTGCGATCGTCATCCCCATTCATGATTAAAAATCTACGAATCTCACAAAAACTGATTAATAAACATGTAATTTAGCGAGTGACTAAGGCATCCGGGCCGTTACCATGCATAATGAGCCACGGTCGCGGAGTGTCACGGATCAAAGGTCCTCGCGCATTGTGCGAATACATGGACACGGATGTACAAACAAGTACATATACAGTACGTGTGGTGACGTTGTGTACTCAACCACGACACGGCGTTGTACCCTGCTGTGACGATTACACGACTAAAATTTCTAACACCGTTCTTTGGCGTTCCTTTTAGTGGCTCCCTGTAACACCTTGTGCTGATAGGGTGACCCCACAGTTATCAGAATACTGTAATTCTTCATGCCACAACAATTTGTAAGGTAAGAACCGTGTACATGTCTATATTGGTGTTGGGCTGCAATATGCATTGAATTACGTTTAGGAATAAATTGTACGGCATAGCGTTTCCTCGAAATCTGTGTTGTGTAACGGGACATCTACCAGCAATAAGGCACAGTAATCTTACGTCAACTCTCACAATCCTCCATGATCGCTTTGCGCAAATAACTTATATCACGCAGACGACTCATCAGACATTCAGAATAAATGTGTTCACTGAATTCTTTGGAAACCGCATTCAGGCTGGGCCGGCCCAAGAGATTCTGTCTTCAGTCACGGTGTAACTCTGACGTCAAAGAGATATCGTCGTCAGCTGCGTGATAATAATGTGCATGTGTGTATAATATGTCCACTTCCCTGTAGGTGTAATGAATTCACTTATCAATGCACAAAATAAGCCCGACACTGTGATTCTTTCTCAAACCTAAATGAAAAAGGATCAACAAACGTTTAAAGAACATTGTAAGCAAATTTTGTCACCTTACAGTTAAGTTTTCATTTATTGAAAATTGTACCCTACACTAGTTTGAAATGGAGTTAATGAAAGAATCTGCCCGACCAGCGTCGATTAGCCAACGTTGGAAAGACATTGAGCAATGTCGTTGCCTATGGCCATGTGAAAGCTGGCACTGTACAAGTAATGTTAGGCACATAGTAACAAGTCGACCTTTACAAATGTGTTATATAATCCAGTGTTATGTTAATGAAATGTTTCCTTTTAGATACTAGGCCAGCTGTAACACGCATTTAACTAACTCTTTAAACTGAAGTTGCACATAATTTTGTAAAAGGAGAGCAAAGTGGCTCTGTAAAATGATGGGTAATAGCGCAATCCGCGCCAGCAAGCATTTTTTACACAACACGCTGAGATAACCCGACTTGAATAAAGACTATACGTGTAGTATCATCGTGGCTATGTAGAATGTTTTCAAGCTCCCAATGTAGGTAAAGACTAGTACTTTCCCAAGATTGGCAATAAAACCATTTCTCCATAGGGAAATACCAGTACTTGGTGTGTCCTCAGACATTTGTGTATTAAAGAACACGCTGCCGGGAACCCTTTTTTGGGGGGTGGGGGCAATGTGGGGATGACGTGCCGGCCTTTGAAATATACGATGGGGGTGCTGACACCATATGAAACTACAGAGCCAGATGTTCACTATTCAAATGTACATTGTACATTACTCCTGCAGAACCTGCCATCAAACGGCGTATTTATGGCTTTTTAGAGATATAGTTTCCCTTTCTGAGTGCTGTTGAATATATTTTGGTTGTTAAGAAGTGGGAAAAAATTCTTCATAATTCGCTTTACCACGAAAAAGTACGGGGTGATTCAAAAACCTAATCCCACCCCAAAAGTGCGCGTGTGTGTGTTTGTGGGGGGGGGGTTATAAACCCCATCCCCCAGGATTTAGCAGAGCCATCTTGCGTGGCATTGTGTACAGTCTCTGTGCAGAATTACAATAGTCAGGCATTCGACACAGTGTAAAGACTGCTTCTTGTTTCTTAATAGGGCATGCAAGGACCGTGACGCCCAGCCGTTGATGAAAGTTCCGTTTGATATAAGGCAACGGTGCCCATTTAACTTAATGGTGCTGTTGTTGAATTAAACCTTCATGTAAAATGACCTTGTTGGCATAGGGGTTCACTTTCGTGAAATATTACCAAATATTTCCACGGTCGTATGTTAATCATGCAGTTTTCCCGGTACTCTGGATTACGCATAAAAACGAGATTCAGAACTGTGACAAATTGTCTAATGAAGTTTTTTTAATGAACTTATATATGTCTCCATTCAGTGGTTTACAATGGGCAGTTTTGCGCAGTGGAAATGTCGTTGGAATTTTGGTGATATTGCAATTTTATTTTAGAAATGCTGAAAAAAATTCACAAGAATTGTCACGTACCGTTTGTACACATGTGCTACAGATCATCGTAAAATGCAAATACAAGTCTAGATCTTTTTTTTCATCTGTTATTTTATTACAGGCACAAGAATATCCTGGAATTCTGCAAAGTTTAACGCAGAAGCTGATAATCATTTGATCAAAGAATTGAACTGATTTGAAAATGAGTGCTCCACCTCCTTACACCCCCCAAGCCGACCCGAAAGGAGGCTACCCAGCTCCAGGGGCCTACCCGCCTCAAAACGCTTGGCCTGCCCAAGGCGGCTATCCACCACCTCAAGGCGGCTACCCACCACCTCAAGGCGGATACCCACCGCCTCAAGGCGGATACCCACCACCTCAAGGCGGATACCCACCACCTCAAGGTGGCTACCCCGGGTACCCTGCAGGCACCCACCAGCCGCAGGTGCAGCAACCAGGTGGGCCTACCGTCATCTTGGTGGACAACTCAGCGGCTCAGAGGCGGCAGGATCAGCGGGACGCGGAAGACGCTTGCTGCCTGGCGGCCCTGTGCGCCGTCTGCCTGTGCTGTCTCCTTACAGATTAGCCTAATTAACAGAACAATTATACTCGAACCTTTTCCACGCGCTTGATCTATCGGTGCCTAACGTTCAGATGTGTAATATCAGTGGGTATATCTGTATAAAAAACGGATCTCTTGGTGCAGTAAAATGGTGTCCCGAAACACGGCCGGTCTGAAATAATCACTTGGTTCCAGGACCTTCCTTTTTTATCGATTTGTTTGTGAAAAAGATGTCTTAACTCCTCGCAAACGATAATTTTAATCATTTTACACGTTGCTCGAAAGTAGATTGGCTTTCATTTTCTCATTTACAGAATCGATTTCCTCTATTCCTTGGTTTGCATTGTAAATTACATCTTTAAAAAAGGGTGGGTGTACATGTAAGAGCAAATACTTTAACAGTTAACTGGTAATAACTTCTTGGACCAAGACAACGTGCAGCCCACGCTAATTGTACCCTCAGTCTGAATTCACAAGTTACTTGTCAATCAGTACTTTCCAATTTCCCGACCAGGTAGTGAGTGTATAAAACAGTTTACCTTTGTGCGAAAATGGCTATTTTACCCTAAACGAGCCGGCTGGGACTATTTTGGCCCATCTCATAGCCCGGGAGGGGATTCAGGCCCCCTGAGAACTCGGCTATGCCTCACTCGATTTTTTGGAAACTTAACATGCATGTAAAGACAGTCTTTATCATTATAAGTGCAAAGTTTGAGCTCAATCAGACGTAAGTCATGTTCGCGTAGTGGTTCTTTCCTCACCTTCCACCTCTACGCTCTGGGTTCGATTCCCAGTGTGGTCCACATGTGGCTTCGGTTTTCAGTCCCTACTTGAGTCCGTGCACGGGTTTTATCCAAGAACGTTCTTCTTGGGTTTTCTTCCCACCTCTAAAACTGTAACTGCTTCTCATTGTCTCCTCTCTGCAGGTTTCGTCAGGCTTGTAAGCTTCAGTGCCTGGGGCGCTTTTGAAGCATCTAAGGTTTTATTACCAGAAATAGATAAATAATATACGGTTTTGTTGATGCGGTCATTTGAAATTCAAGTCTGCATGCATGGAACACAGCAGTGGAAAAAGTATACATTTTGGCTGATCAGTCTCGGACAAATGTGTGCTGTGCAACAAGGGTTTGGTGTCGAAATTACCGCCAAGAGTTACTCTAAAACCCCCCAAAACTTAACTCCTGAAAAAATGCACAGTGGCCATATTTGGAAAAATGTTGAGCGGGCTCGGATTCCGCCCCCGGCTTTTTTAGGGTCAACACACAGTTGTGTCTAGTCATAGGTATAGTGATTAGTTATTTTTTTGCCTAAATGAAAGATTTGTGTGTAAATAATTAGCAATGGTGTATCCATGGTAACTGAAAAAAACTAAGTAAACGGTTTTTTTGTAGGCCCGGTGTTGACAGCAAAATCAGAATAATGACAAGCGTGTAAATGCCGTTTAATCTCATTATGTAGCCATAGACTGTTAAGGCATGTTATGATTTATTAATTGCATGAACCTCTATGCCTGAGTTTGTGTTAAAATTCATGATACTGCAATCTGTTTTATTCAGTGAACTGCATAGCTATTTTTTAAAATAAAAAATCGCAAATAAAAGGAAATTTATTATTTCTATTACGTTAATCCTCCTATATCCTTATGAAAACGTTATTTTCACAATAGAATGCCAGTCACAGCAGACTGATAGGAATTTTGGTAAAATCCGAGTATTTAAATGCTAAAAAAAAATATATATACATATGTAATTTTATTCTTTACTGCAATGTGTTATGTATAAAATGTTAAATATCACATCGTAACATTCTTTTTACCTGTAAACCAAATGGGGGAGACGGTGATGGATGTAGACCGCACATACAGTGTGAAGCGTCTAAGCCCGAAAGAACAGATTTATTCGGGAATGTCAACTTTCGGGAACATATTCGAAAATCTTGCCTGCTTTGAGCAAGCTTAGGATCGATTTGGCAAGAGATTGATCCAACATTTTATGTCTTCTCTTAGAGAACAGACGATTCTAAGGGTTTCACATCGTCACTTCCATTTTTTCAACCTACCGTGCACTTATGGTGTCAGTAAGCCACTCAACTAATTCAGTGCTTTGGTGTTTCTAAATGTGGAAGGCTCTAGATTCTTTGAGGTCAGTTTTTTGCTTCATGGCATCAAAGATGAACTTTCAGAGACAGGAAAAATACTAGAGCTATCGTAATTAAAAAAGAAGAAGAGATTTTAAACTGTGGCTGTGATGTCTGTTGATTGCTCTGGTTCAAGAAGACGTGGGCTCGTTCGTGTCCAGGCCGGTGCGGTGAAAATACGCAAGCGCAAAGTTGTGACATTTGGAAGAGTTTTTGCTGACTTATCAGACTTTGTCTGTGTCAAGTTCTCACTACACATGCAGGTTTCTGAGCTAGTGGTTTGAGTCGGGGAGTCCAGGGTGGGGTGGGGGGAATCCCAAAAGCCTATCGTCACCCACAGGATGACGATAGAGACAGGAAGAATGATAGGAATAGAATGTTATAGAATTCTAGGATGTACACATGGTCTTATCCCCGACCTCGCCCTATAAAATCTTCATTCATTTCTGGTGAGAATTTGTAATATGCGTAGGGTGTAGGAGTAGTGTGTGAACACTATGACAGAATCTGGTTACATCGCTTGCTGGATGCAAAGGTAAATCCAACATGGCTGATGTTTTTCTGCTATTGCATGGAAAAGTACAGAGTCCGTTTACACGCCCCGTTCAGTCGATGCGTTTAGTTGGTAATTATGAACACACGGGTTCATAAATAAAATGATCAACTTCCGTAAAAAAAAAGCCAGGCTTGGCGGTAATCATTAACATGTTGTGCCATGGCAACGGGGCCAAAGTTGCAACTGCAGTTACAGTAAAATGTACCTCCCAGGGAGTTCAGGTTTCTGTCGTGTAAATCTTGATCAATACATCACATAATGGTTTCAAATCTGGGAAAAGTGTTGCATGTCTTCTTTTCACACGAAACACTATACGCAGGTAAGCTTTCAATTGTTTTATTTGTCAAAGCATGCATCGTAATAGCAAGATGTCGTGTCGAGCTAATTAAAACTGTTGATCTTTACTCTGTCTATGAATTGTAGAGTCGAGAAGTCACTAAAATCAGAACCTTTGCGTTTCAGTTGCTTCTTTAATCTAGTATTTTCTTTGATGTCTTGAGTGATATGATCATCTTTGTGCCAATATCCCAGTTATTCCTTTCACAAAAGTAAACTTTTGAGTACTGTACACTCGTTTTTTTTTAAGAGCACACGAGAAAAATATCAAGTGTTGTGGGTTGGAGACCCGTTCAAGCGAGCTTTTCCGTTTTTCTCAGCACGCACTTCGGAAGTCGTATTTAGTACTGCCATCTCCCTAACGCGGAAGTCGTTGTTATTCTCGTTGCATTCATGAAGTGAGCCGATTTCAGGGGGGGGGCCTTTGTATTTGAAAGGGGAGGTGACTGCTTGTTGTTCTGCTTACAGAAGCAAGACGTTTAGACAGGTATCGTCCTCTGCAAGGAAGTGAAATATACCACGATCTACGATGAAAAAGTCAAAGGCACGGGTGGCTCCCGGGAAGCAACAAGCATCGCACATCACCGTGATGGCGAGCAACCCTCATCCGGCCCCGGGCCAGCTTCACCAGGTATTCAACTCCCCTCCAGCAGCGCCTACCGTGGTCGTCGTGCAGCAACACCAACCCATGAAGAAGAAAGATGGCTCCTGTTGCTCATGTTGCTGCTGCTGCAGTTGTCTCATGGCGATGTGTGCCTGCTGCCTTTGCTGTTGGTAGCGAAAAGAGCTACGGGGGGTCGTCATATTTAAAACCGCGAAGCGTAATCGGTGAGATGATGAAGCTAGTGCAAGATTCGACAGATTGAGATTTGCTGGCGAGACATTGGATGCATTCAAAGACATAAATGATCGCTATTAGGAGACAAGAGCACTCGGACTTGTAACTTTGATACATTCCCGTCATTTTGAGCAAGGGATTGATGTGAAACTAAGAGACTTTAATTTTCATTGTCACTATTCCGTAAGACATTCGCAGAAGACATCAAGACTAAGCAAGACGAGGTTTTACATGATGGAAATACTAAAATATGAGAAGGTTTTTAACATCATTTATTGCTTGCCGTGTGTGTATAAATCGTACGAGACTTGCGAACCGGTTTATTATTCTGTCCTTAAAACTCATTTCAGCATTGCAAAATATTTCTGGTTGTAATTTTGTTTAGCTTTATTGAAGTTAGTTCTGTAGAAACTACTGTATGAATTGCTTGGCGTGTTAAACCACAAGAAGATGATATCACGCTGAAACAAGGTCGTACTAAATAAAATTGTGGAAAACACAGGCAAATGTGCAATGAATAGTGAATGTTTGTTCGACTTGATAAATCCACAGTTTCAAGGTCGATTTGTGTCATGACTGTGTCACAGATTATGCAGAACATATTCCGCCTCGATTTCCAGCGGCTAGAGAATCCTTGAATGGAAAGGACCGGGCTGAACCCAATCATCATCTGGCACCAATTTCATAGAGTTGCTTAAGCACAAAAAACCTTGCTTAAAAACATAGGTTTCCTGCTCGAAATCTCTGTTATTGTCATGCTAACTAAGCAACAGGTGAATACTATTCCAAAACAACATACAGGAGTTTTGGCTGGTAAAGTGATTTGTCAAGCAAGGTTTTTTCACGCTTAAAGCAAATTTTGTGCTTAAGTAGCTCTATGAAATTGGCCCTAGATGTTTGTTTTTTTGTTTTTATTGACGTCATAGAAGAGGGAAAACGAAGTTACAGGCACTAGATTGAGAACTACTATAATTGTTATAAAATTAACCTGTGAATAATCACCTGTTTTTCTGATAGATTTGATAGCTGCCAGAGACTTAACGATCTACTCCGACATTACTAGCTCACTCAAACCGGTAAAACGGTTGATAATTGTAGAGGTCGTCATTTTCAAGGCATTTTTTGGCACAAACTTGTTGGTTTTCATCCACTTTCAACCCTTCTGTGTTGTTTTGCTTTTCCGCTATTCTTACTTGTCCATTTTTCCTACCCCTCTCTCTTCCGTGACGCTGGTGATTCGAAGCCTTGATAAACAGTAGCTATCATGCATCGGCAATTTCAGCAGTCTAGAGAAAAAGCGTTCTAAAGGTAAACTAAGCAGAAGCAATCATTTCACTCGTCAGGTATCCCATGTGAAACTTTTTTTTATCCTGAAAGCGAAACCTCAGGCGGTCTGACAGCCAGCCACGCCGCGATCTTGGGGTTGGCGGCGATCCGTCTCTTGAGGGTGTCCAGCTTGGGGAACTTCTCCAACGAGTTGGCACCCTTTGACAAAACATCCACGAAGTCGACCGCGGTGAAGAAGAAGAGATCGGCGGCAGTGATCTACACTGAAAAGCAGAGATGCTTACTGAATGTAACAATTTTGATCTCTTGGTCATATTCTCCGGTGCCCAACACACGCAGCCTTTTTAACAGTTTCCCACCATGGGGGGGGGGCTGCAAATTAATCTTAGATATATTGCAGTCTGCTAGCCTTGTCTGTTCTTTTTGATATTCCCATCAATTTTCAGCTAAGGCCAAGTTCAAGTGACAATTGTAGTTAACTATCATTATTTTTACCAACATCACTCGAACGAAGGATGATTAGTTCATTTAGTTGATCATTTTGAAACAAGGCTCTGGGCAAATTCGAGCGACGACTAGAGTTAACTGTAGTTTACCCTACGGTTTACGATGGGGAGGAAGCCCAGATTTGCAAAACCAATTATGAAATCCTTTAAAGAATTTTAGTCAGATCGGAGGTCATCAGGTATCTTCCAATTTAATAAATAGGTCATTGCGCACGGAAATCATCAATACTCCAATTATACTATATTGGATCAAGTCAAATGTTACTTCCTTGACTTTGAAGCTAAAAAGGGCATGGATTCATTTGCAACTTGTATTAATGACTAATTACCGAATTTCCGACGAAAAAGTTTCCAGCTAACTCAAGCGCGAGCAATCGCTCCAAGGTAGCGTAGACGGGTGGGACCGTTTCTTTCAAGAAGCGTGCGGCCCTTTCTGCCTAACGGTGTAAACAAAGACACAGACACATGTGTTTAAACCATCAGCATTGGGATCCAGTCGGCAACACGTTTCCAGTTTTAAGAAGATCCCGCTTGAATGCCAACAAAAGACTGTACATGGAAACCAAACCATTCCAACCCAACTCAACTCCACCAAACCCGACCCTCGCGCAACCAATCATTCAAACCCATTTGAACACACGAACAAAGTTAAACCCAACCAAGCCCAATCCAACTTAATTGAACTAACCTAAGTTATTAAAGGCGAGGTAAAACTAAGCAACCAAATCAACCTTAACCTTCAAAACCCGATAAACCTCACGGCGAACCAACCCAATCTGGTCCGTCCCACCTTACCCTGCTCTAGTCGGGCCCGCGGAAAACAGAGTTAGCTGCCGACCAGATATCCTCGACCGTGTCCACTACCTGGTCTATGAATGCACACTCCAAGTTCGTCTTCCCGTCGAATCCTTATAGTCACAAGTAGGAAATTTACAAGGGACCACGATGTACATTTCAATTAAAATTTTGGTGCCACCTTCCTTAACCTTCACAATTTTCCATACTTTTCCTTGAATACAAATATTGGAGCTGTTGCTAATGTCGCCACAAGAGTTCACATTTCATGTTTCCTGTTTACTCTGTCAACCAAAATTTACACATTGAAAATATTTGGCGGAAATATTTGCCCAATGACTTAAGAGCAACAATACTATTAGTATTATGAACAACTATCTGTGGAATTTTCTGTGATTCATAACTGAAGTTGGTTTCCTTCAGATGCTTTTAATTTTTGCTTATTCTAATTTAGCTACGAATTGGCCACAACATGAAATAAGGAAAAAGACAGCAAAAACGATTTTAGAAGTGATTTGACTGGACTATTTTTGAGTCTTCAGTGAGCCAGTTTGGTACTTCAGATCACCAGGTCATTAAAAGTGGCTGCTTTGATTAGGCCGACTCTTTTGTCCAGCACGCACCATGCGGCACAAGATTACCAAAAACTTTTGCAAGTTATTCGTCGCCCGCTCCGTCGTCCGACATCGACAGACCTTTAAACTCACCGAATTCCTTGGCCAAATAGCGCAGGATGGCTTTACTCTGGCACAGCATCTTTCCATCCACCTCCAGCGCAGGGGTTTGTTGGGTTGGGAATTCTGAAGAAAGAAATCAGTCCAACAGTCCACACCTTTGAGACATTGCCTCGGAATTAAGAAATGATCATGCTGAAGAAGGAAGGGGGACATATTGCAAAATGATGACGTCATGGGCCATCGTAGCCAATTTACAATGAGAAATGGGAAAGTCCCCCCCCCAATGAAAAGTTTTAGGGTTAACTCTTTGAAAAGGTAAAAAGTTTGATGCCAAAGACATCTAAGGAACAGCAAGTAAAGCCGAGCCGATGAAGAAATTGCTGAGCAGAGTAATGAGTTTCAACCAGATCGCCAGGATGAGGAAATTACTCGAATGCTCCGCCCAGCTTTGGACAAACTCGGCAATCACGGTGATCCCTGTCTGTTTGGTCATCCTGAAAACGATTTAAAAACAACTCACTATCTTTAAGCTTCGGCCATTCTGGAAATGTGAAGTTCACCTCTTCGAAGTCGACTCCAGCCAGCTTGAAAGCCAGCCGAATACTCTCACCGCGGCCGTGAGCCTTGAAGTAGTGAAGTACGTATTTGACCATGGTGAAGAACTGAGCAGGACACTACCGTCCCCCCGCTATGCCAGAGCTCGACTGCAAGGGTAGTGTACACGGCACAGCCTAACGAGCAAAAATACTATTGCAATATCCGGAGCAGAATCAATTAAGTAAACGAAAAATAATCTATAAATGCCACATATGTCAGACAATATGCTCTTGACCTTTCGCGCATAGGGGACTAAGGTTCAGTAGAAAGAAAAAAAGGAAAGCACCGGTAAATAAATAAGGGATAATGGTCCGAGTTAAGTTTTTCACTACCAATTTTTAACCTTAGTTCTTATTTCCCAATCAAACGAATCTGAAGTTCAGTTCAATGCAAGGAACTGGGATTGACTCAACTGCACTGAATTTCGGGTATGGTTGAGGATTTCATTGCACTGTGGTTAAAATTTGACCCAGGCCGTCTCTCACAATGACGTGCTTATAATTAATATAGGGTTGGGTCCGAAAGGTCTGGTCAAAAGTCAACAAAAGCCTATGGAGACTCCATATATGGAGTAGGTTCCAATCTGTCCATGGATGAAACCTGGTGACAGACAAGCATCCAGAAGTTTGTGTTTCTTTTTCTCTTGTCAATCTTCCGATTGAGTTATTTTTCGGAATGATGGAATCTGGCGTCCACCAAACGTCAGGACTTGTATCGGGTAGTGAATCCGGCAGAATCCTGCTGGGTGTAAGTAAATGAGGTGCTCTATGCACAAGTCAACTTTCCTTTTTTTCTTCGTAATCGAAAATAAACTCCACCTCAAATTTGTCTAAAATGTAACACAATAACCACTGATTTGGAATAATTTGCCTAGAGAAATGTATGCAATGTTACTGCTTGGTAATGATATCCCAGAAACGAGATTTATTGGGTGTCCATTGTAGGTGTTTAAAGGGTTATTCATTTTTTTCAAATTTCATGCGTGCAAGGAAAACTCTCATTTTAACCCTCACATAACATTGCGTAATAGTCTTTCATTTTCCAAAATTTAAACTTCCGCAGTTCATTGAAGCGTGAAATGTGAACCACGGAACTGGTATCAATCACAACAGACGTACACCCTTCCCCAACGGGTACAACCAGATTTTTGAAACACAGTCCTGTGATATTTTATGGCAATTTTTCTCAGTCTACCCTTTTCTGACACCCCCTGTAGTTTTGTAGGCACGATCCTGTGAAGTTCAAGGCTAAATACGTGCCAGCTCACGTGCATTGAACACCTCAGTGGAAAAGAGTGTACATTTTGAATGAAAATGCGCGCTGCGCAAGAACGGTTTATCCGATTTTCACAAAGTCGGTGTAAAAACGACCGTAAAGAGTTATTCTAAAAACTCATAAGGGCTCAACTCCTGAAAAAAATACACTGCGGAGATATATGGAATGTTGGGGGAGGGGATTCTGCCTCCAGCTCCTTTAGTGTTAATTACCCACTTCAAGCGTACATGTACACAACGGAGGCTATGTAAATTGCCATCTAGTGCAGTGCGGCTAATGACGAACGCCTTGACCGCGACTTGTTCCTTTGGGGTAATTTTTCGGGTTTTAGGACCTCAACTAAGAGAGGTAACGGAACCCTGAAAAGGCACCCTCATATGACCATAGTGACCTTACCCCACAGCGTGGAGTAGTGCGCCTCCATTGCCTGCTCCCAAAACTGAGTGGAAAATTAATACCCATTATGACTGAGTTGCGACCACAATAGGTTTATGTCTGCTGTTGAAGTTACCTACCATTGACAAATACAGGTCACTTTACAAAGGCGAGATTGGACAGACGAAGCCTTGGGCGTCATTTTTCAGACAACGGAATAAGTGACTTTCTATAATATGTTTATCATCTTTGAAACCTTCTTCAGGGATGCATGATATTTGCAGCCTTGAGACACCTTAAATTAGCTGCTTTTAAGTTATAATGTTTCGCAATGATTGATTTCACAGCGTATTAGCATACAAAACAGCAATGTCATATCTAACAAGGGATTTCACAACGAACAGTAAGCTAAAGAAACACCCATGTAATTAAGCAATATACGGGCGATTCACAACAGTGAAATCTGTCGACCCTTTCCAAACGCGCATTGGGTCGACAGATTTCGCGCACTGTGATTGGTCAACGTGTTGCAAACTCTTGGAGGCGCACTACTGTGAAACGCCAGTATTCAAATCTCTTGCATGTATTATAAACAAGTATTCTATATAGCGGCACAGTAAGTAAAAACCCTCATTTGCGGCTACCGTGCAACAGGCATGTACTTCATATCTCCTTAAAAGCAGCCCCATGCAGCATGACAGGCAGCCTTGCCGCGATCTTGGGGTTTCGGTGATCCGTCTCTTGAGGGCGTCCAGTTTGGGGAACATCTCCAACGCCTATTCAACACCCTAAAATGGATTAATGTTATTTAGTTTATCTTATCAATGTTGACCAGAAGTTCATTCGTATCCAAAGGATTGAGGTGAGTCGCAGTTTTCATCTGCATATTAGTTCAAATTTGATCAAGACAGTTTTTCAGCGCGGGGTGCTCAATGCAACCAGCTAAAAAAATTCCCATTAACACCCATTACAAATTCCTTTCATTCAGGCTGAACAAAAAAATGATGATGATAGACATGTTCCATTTCATTTTCCTGTAAATGTTCTTATTGACTAATGTCGTTTTGGAGAAATTGTCAACTAGATCCACGTAATGATTGACATTTCCTAACCTGAAATAAAGCCATTTTGGAAATTAACAATTATTTTTTTATTTTATTACCCGCGGACGTGGGAGGAGAAAGGGCTTAAAAGGGTTCGTTTTAGGGGTCATTCTTAGCACGACTTTTCACTTAATCCCCAGTCCCCCTATTTGTCCTGTACACTTTAAGCTTTATGCACTGTAAATTTGTTGTTTCATAGAAATGATGATTGAGTAGAAGCAACTGGCCAGTTGCAATGCAAATAAATGACATTGCACCTAACCAAGGCTAGGTAAACAAAAAAGTCCATGCAAACACTGGATGGCTGCGAGATAAAAGCTAAGTTTTTATTCTAAGTGACACCAAGGAATTGACCTTCATTGCCAGTCAGTATCGGTCTCAACTATTCCTAACACAACTGAAAGAGGGTTGATCTCTGATCAGCTAATTTATGTAACGGGCTTTCTTTGCTTTTTTATTGATACCGATCAAACACTCAAGTCAAGGAATGGGCTTATGGGAAAATTAAGGTCACCCAGTGGTGTACACTTTCTCGGGAAGGGGTCAATATGGAAGTGTAAAGTGTAAATGGTGCCAGTTGAACAACAAAAAGGTGGCTAAATTCCCTTTTAACATCACGTTTATAAATCATATCGCTGAAAAAGGGCGAACACTGGGTGTCACTGTGATGGGTGAGTTCTTTCCAGGAGATGGTACGTATTGAAACCGATAAAACGACTAATTGTGGAAGTCATCATTTCCAAAGCATTTTTGGGCAAATTTGTTGGTTTTCATCCACTTTCTACTCTTCCGTATTGTTTTTCTTTTCCGCTTTCTTATACTTGTTCCTTGACGCCATGATGAACGATAGCTATAATGCATCGGCCATTTTAGCAGTCTAGACAAAAAGAATTATAAAAGTAAACGAAAAAGAAGCAATCATTCCACTCGTCAGGTATCCCCTGTAAACCTTTCTTATCCTGAAAGCGATATCTCAGGTGGTCTAACAGCCAGCCACGCTGCGATCTTGGGGTTGGCGGCGATCCGTCTCTTGAGGGCGTCCAGCTTGGGGAACTTCTCCAACGAGTTGGCACCCTTTGACAAGACATTCACGAAGTCCACCGCGGTGAAGAAGAAAAGATCGGCGGCAGTGATCTACAACGAAAAACAGGGATACTTACTGAATGTAACGATTATTTCGATCACTTTGTCATATTCTGCAGTGCCCCCCAACACACGCAGCCTTTTAACAGTTTCCCAACATGGGGCGGGGGTACAAATCATAAATATTTTGCAGTCTTCAAGGCCTGTCTGTTCTTTTTAATTAATATTCCCAGCAGTTTTCAGTTCAGGCCAAGTTTGAGCGACGATTATAGATAACTCTCATTATTTCCACTAATATCACTCGAACGAATGATGACTGGACCATCCAGTTGGTCATTTGGAAATCAGGCCCTGGGCATGGCTGCATCACTGGTTATAACAATAGCCTTTTTCGTAATTAAGAATTGAGTAAACCATTGAACAGAAAAAAGGAGACCATGTGAACGCAGCGACAATGGCAACCAATGACAACGTGCGAGTCGGCCGATTACCATGCGAGTGGGACCGCCGCAGTGCGTGTATGCAGTGGTATTTGCAATCGGTCAGTGGTCGACCTGTAGTCATAACTGGGCTTGCCGCTTGCCCTCAATAAAACCCACCATGGGTTGAGGGACAGCAAACTCCACTGGATTGCTTTTGACCCAAAGATGGATAAATTGTCATTTCGTTTGAGCATAATAGGCCCGCAGAAAGCGTGCAGTTCCGTTGTCAGAGTCAAAGACGGAGGGAAAGAAACCCAAATATTGAAAACCCTAATCATTAAATCCTGTAGAGAATCTAGTCTGGTCTCCAGATCATAGTTATTAGTGTTTCCTAAATAGACTCTCGGAATAATCGGAGGTCAAGTATCATCCAAATTGAAAAATGGATCATTCGGAGACATACATGATCAATATTCCAATTACACTATATTGGAAAAGGGCAAATTTTACTACTTGACTTTGAAGTTAGAAAAGGGTTTAGACTTATTTGAACTTGCATAATGAAGCATTACCGAGTTTCCAACGAAAAAATTCCCAGCTGGCTCCATCGTGAGTGATCGCTCCAATGTTGCGTAGACGAGTGGGACCGTTTCTTTCAAAAAGTGTGCAGCCCTTTCTGCCTAACAGATGAAAAAAAACACGCTTTAAATCAATTGTATAATGATACGTTCTTGCAACCAAACCAACCCGACCCAAACCAAGCAAACCAATCCAATTCAATCCAATCCTGACCAATCCAAACCAAACCACACTGACTGAACCAGGCCAAACAAGTTAATCTAACCCACTTATTCTCAAGCCAAGCCAAATAAAACTAAACCGACCTGACGTAAACCAACCCAACCCAATCCACCCCACCTTACCCTACTCTCTTTGGGCCCTTGAAAAACAATGTTAGCTTCTGCCCAGATGTCCTCGACCACGTCCATAGCCTGGTTTATGAAGGCACACTCCAAGTTTGTCTTTCCTTGAAATCCTTGTTTAAAAAAAAGTAGAAAATTCATATTTAAAAGGCCCATGATCGATGTGTTTTCAATTCAATTGATGATCATTCGATTCGATCGATATGCTATCGATTGCAAATTTGTTTGGTGCAACTTTCTTTAACCTTTACAATTTCGCATGCCCTTTCTTACAAACGCTGGAGCTGCTGCTTTTGTCTTTACAGGAAAACGCTTATACTTTTGGAGTATCCTATTTTGAGAACCTACAACTTGCACGTTGAAAAATGATATTTGAGAGAGGAAAATTCACCCAATGACTTAGTCATTAACAACGAAAATTATTTTTTGTTGCAGTATTTATTCACTGCCATTGGGGGATTCCTCGCTGATTCAGAACTCTATTTTTTTTCTATAATGTTTTTGTTTCTTGAATGGATCACTTGAAAAAGTGGTACAAGATCACAAGAAAGATTTGGCTCGGTATTTCAGAAAGCCTGGTCGTTCAAGGATGGCACCATTGATTAGGCCGACCAACTCGGCTAAATGTGGTACAACCTTTATTTTTGGGAATGATCTGTCTAGACAGGCCTTGAAACTCACCGAATTCCTTGGCCAAATACCGCAGGATGGTTTTACTCTGGCACAGCATTTTTCCATCCACCTCCAGTGCAGGAGTTTGCTGGGTTGGATATTCTAAGGAAAGAAATCCACCTGATAATCCACACCTTTAAAGGATTACCTCGGCATTTAAAACTTAGTCTTATCATAATTGCTTTATTGGATTGTGACGCGGGGGGGCTAATGTAGCTACTAGCAATGAGAAATCGGGAAATAATGCTGCCCTCCCCTCCAAAAAAACAGAGGAAGATTTGAAAGTGAGGTCTGGTAAATATTTAAGAATGACATTTACAAAGGAGATTTATAGGGGGCTATGCGGATTAATTCTTTTCAACGAGATGGGTAAGATGCTGAAATTGAGTGCTCCGCCCAGCATCGGACAAACTCGGCCCGGTGGTGATTGGTAATGATACTGATTACGGCGATGCCGTGTCGCGTGGTCGTCCTAATAATGATTGGAAAACAACTCACTGTCTTTGATCTCCGGCCATTCTGAGAATGTGAAGTTCACCTCTTCGAATTCCACTCCAGCCAGCTTGAAAGCCAACCGAATGCTCTCAGCGCGGCCCTGGGCTTTGTAGTAGTGAAGCACGTATTTGACCATGGCGAGAACCGTGTAGTACACTCCCGCACCCCCGCTATGTCAGAGCTCGACTGCAAGCCGGGCAGTGTCAACGGCACAGCCTAACGAGCACAAGTGCAATGCCATTATCTAGAGCAGTATCGGCTAAGTAAAGCAACCATGATAACTGCAGGTCATCATCCTCTTGACTTTTCCCGCATCAAGGCCTAGTTGGATGTAAAGAAAAGACAGTGCACTTACAAATTGCATTTGTTAAAATAAAACCATGTGTGAGTCTGAAAGATGCAACTGCCCCACAATTTAACTTTGAAATGGGATCATGTTAATTCTTAAGTTTTATTCGAATGAACCAGAAGTTACTAAATTCTAGTCCAAGGGATTGGAGTTGATAAAACTCAGCTCGTTTCCGCACTGTGGTTAAAAATCTGACCTAGGTAATATTTCATCGTGGCGTGCTAAATGCGATTATTTATAATATCCCGAAGGTCTCTTCGAAAATCAACAAAAGCCTGTGGAGATTCTATACATGGAATAGGTCTTGCAGCGTCGATCTGAATGAAACCTAGAGACGGACAATCAGCCTGAAGTTGTTTTGTTCCTCACGGGGTCAATTTTGCGGAATCTAAGGCCTAAATGAAAAGGTAACCACACACGGAGAAGGTTCCATAAGGGTTGCAGCGACCTAATTCAGGCCCCATCGAGAATAGTGTAAAATCAACAACGTTCAGGGTCACAATAATATGCAAGCCGACATTACTCAAGCTTTAATAATTGCCTTGACGCTACTCTTTTCATTTCTTTTCAATTTTGATGGGTGAGCCGATTGCATATTTCTTTTTTAATTATTCACGCAAAACAAAATTCACCCTCGAAAACTGAAAGTTCCCGAGCCAGCTTGCAGCCCCGGCAATTTCGAATGGCTTCCCCCTACTTTCTGTGGCACGGGGGACAGTTTTCCATCGGTAATTTTGTCAATTCTGCCCTCGGATGGAAGGCCCGAAACCCTCAGCAGAAATCAGTTCATCGCACACTCTAATGCGATCACGGTAACCTTTCCCCAAGGTGTTGAGCAGTGCACCCCCAATTACCTGCTCGGGAAACAACGTGAAAATAATAAAGAATATTGATGGTAAGCTTGTCGGTTATACATTCAGATAAATAGCTGTGTCTTCAACTGGATTGGTTGCTAATAAGTGGCTTAAACATTGTATTTTTCTGGCCGTATCAATGAACGTAATCGAAACGTTACGAAATATCTGTGTCAAGCACGTAGCAGCCAACATGTACACATATTTATTGCCGTAAGTGGCTGGGAATGAGAGCACACTGGCTTGGGTGGTTTCTCTTGGTTTCTTCGCTGATCCTGGTCCTCAAATTACAACACAACTCAAGCATCTGAGGAGTGAAGACCGGATAAATATTCGGATGAGAATTACAGTTACCGCAAGTATTGGGAGCTGTTGAGGTATTCTTTTGAGTGGTACACACCCTCACCTAAAGGTGGAGTTCACACCCCCTCCTTGAAAGTAGCCGACCCGCCCCTGTTCCGTGACAATACCACAAGGGCAAGGGCTATATGGTCGTTTTTTATAAGGGGAGGTTAAAAACATGAGTCCTTCGGGTGTCATTTTCAAAACACGGGATAATTGACTTTCATTTATTTATCTATCATCTTCAGATAGAACCTTCTGTCGGGGATGCACGATTTTTCAGTCACAAAACCTTACATTAGTTTTTTTTTTCTTTTAATAAATACGGAAGTTGCTTTCACCACGTGCTAACATACAAAACTGTAATATTACATCTAACAGGGATTTTACAAGAAACAAAATTCTAAAGGAACACCTTCTAAAAATTGAACAAATAAACAACTTATAAATGCTAATTAATTAAGCAACTATGCTAAAAAAAATATTTTAAAAAACTACAAGGATTGTCTTCCCTCATCCCTCGTATATTTCCCGTCGCAACTACAGCTATTTTAACAAACGAAAAGGGGCAGGCCCCAAACTTTATACAGCAAATTGTTTTTTTTCTTTTGTAGTTTTATAGATTTTACTTGGCGACAACCAACCTAACAGTTCTTGTTTACTTCATCCACAATGGCACAGATCAACCCGAATTGACCCACTTTCTTTCGTTACTTCATAATGAGATGGGGCTACATATCCCCCATACTTTAGAATCATCATCCATTCGTGAAGAGAAAAGGTTAAGGTGGATTGTAAGGAGGTTTCTGGACTCCAAACAGCCACAGTGTACCCACCAGCACTCAGAAAAGGGAGAACAATCAAACATAACCATAAATATGTTGTTTTAAAGATTCTGGAGAAATAATAGGGCCTACATGTTACAGATGTACATGGGTATCGTGAGCATCACCCTCGTCATCATATCGATGGCACATCATGACAGCCCCCCCCCCATTTTCAATGGCCGGGCAAGTAGTCCCTCTACGATACCCCACCGCCCCAATTTCCGGAACGGATAATTTATGTGCAACTACTGCTGAAATCAAATGAGCATTTTGAGGCAAGATTACTGCCATGCAAAGGTGGCTTTTCTACAAACGTTGGCGGCCAAAACGAAATGGAGGTGTTTGTAAACAATGACAACACTCAACAGAAGTTTCGTTGAAACGATCAACGATAAATTCAAATGCAGGAAAGCAATTGATCGCGGCTAATTAGTTGGTCTAAACAAAAAGAACAAGCTTAAGCTAATATTCAAAACTTTGCGGGTCATGGTAAACGAGTGTAGAGGCATATTCAACAGAACCCGTGATTTGGAGAAAACGCACCAGGGCGTCGTCGCATCTATGGTCACAGACGGGCGAATCTACTTTATATTTCCTTAAAAGTAGCTTCGGGCGGTCTGACATCCAGCCAAGCCGCAATCTTGGGGTTGGCGGCGATCCGTCTCTTGAGGGCGTCCAGCTTGGGGAACTTCTCCAACGAGTTAGCGCCCTTTGACATGACATCCACGAAGTCGATCGCGGTGAAAAAGAAGAGATCAGCGGCAGTGATCTAAGCGATGGAACAACAAAAACATGTTTTGTCGATTTAAAATTTGACCGATTTTAAATCGCTATTACAGCTTCTAATACATGTAGGCCTACTTTATTAAGCCTGATCAATTTACTTATTGGGCTATTGGTAGAATTTTCATTCCATAACCTAGCATTTAAGATGTAAAGAGGAATATGTTCAACCACAGTTTTGCTTGAATGACTAAATACCGAGTTTCCAACGAAAAAGTCGCCAGCTACTTCAAGGGCGAGTAGTCGCTCTAAGGATGCGTAAATGGACGGGATTATTTCTCTCAAGAATGGTTCCGCCTTGTCTTTCTGAAATATAACCCCAAAATACATATGGTCATATATTAAACCAACCGGCACTACCAATCCGTCTGCACCAACAAATACCGGGTATGAAGAACAGGTAAAGCCTGGTTTCCATACGGTCGGAACAAACGCCGATGGCACGCAAGACGCCAAGACGCAGACAGTCGCAGAAGAGACGCTGCATGACGTCATTCCAACAAAAAAGTAAACAAAATGGCGCCCAAAACTGGGAAACAGTTTGCAGAGAATTCCTTTTAATGTGGCAACACGGTTTTATGATGATTTACTTCGTTAATAGTTATATTCTGTTGATTAGTCGGGCTGCCTATGTCAGTATTAAGGAGATAATAGGCAAAATGAATGGTACCCAGCGACAGGCATACATAGTCATCGCCGGCGTTGAGCGTGTTTGTACAAGCCTTTCCGGGCGACTCAACGCAAGCAGTCGGCAAAGTTGAACCTTGCAGTTGATGTTTGCGTTAGTAACCATAAAGTGTTTCCATGTGACTGTTTTTCACTGAGGACTGATCGGCGATGCTCTCTGTATTCCTTTACGTCGATATGGAAACCAGGCCTAACTCATTGGTTCCCTCTCCTTCCCTTAAGATCTTCTACATGCATAAAAGTTCGTTGATGGGTGACCCTTTTTAAACAAAAATTGCCCTCAAAATCTGTTGTCTAAATACAGCATTGGCTGGACTCCAATTACCAAAATTATGTCTGCCCCACCGAAAGTGTGGTTAGCCGCTGCCCAGATGTCCTCCACCATGTCGATAGCCTGATCTATGAATGCCGCCTCCAAGTTTGTCTTACCGTACAATCCTAGAGAAAATGAAGAGGGTTTAAATCGTTGTTTGCTGATCAAAAAGTTCATAGGTTAATTGAAAACCACGCCTTTACTGCGAAAGAACTTGTTTGTCAATTGAAAACACCGACAGTGCTGTATAAGTGCTGTTTTAGTGTCGTACATTTTATGCAACGTAGAGAAATATACTGTGCAGCGACCAGAAATTTATTTTAGCATTGACACTTCATATTAGACGATTGAAGAATGATGCTGTCTGTCGTAAGCGTCCCAGCTGGCATCACACATTATTACTGAAACTAATAGCAACTTATTCCTCAACGATTGGATCCAAAATGTCTGCTGATTAAAAGCTTTTTTTGTTTTGTTTTTTTGGTTTTTTTTTTGTTTTTTACCTGTTTTCTTTGTTCTTCTTCAAGTATAATCATTTCGGTGAAATAATTGACCAGTACAAGAAATAAGTCCCTAACAGCCTCTAAGAATCCTTTATAAAGTGCCACAAAAACTGCAGACATGTTTTAATCTCACTCTTTTTGGACTCCTCCCCCCCCCCGTTATATCAACTGAGACATCTTTACCATTTAATGGAGTTACCCTCCATGCAGATCTCGAGACTCACCGAATTCCTGGGCCAAATATCGCAGAATGGCTTTACTCTGGCACAGCATCTGTCCATTAACCTCTAGCGCCGGAACTTCCCGGGTTGGATATCCTTAAAACATTTTTTCAAATAACCGTAATGATATAAAACTGAGAATTGCCAGCAATAAAAACGGGTGTTTTGGGCAGTATATGTTGCTGGTTCATGATGCAGGAATCACTTCGGCAGGGCAGCTTTGTCATTTGACGTACAATGTTCATGAGTGGTGAAACAAAGCTGTACAACCTCAAGAGAATCATTTGAGAAACGACAAGAACTTGACTCGGCAATTTATAATGGCAACTGTAAAAAGAACAAAAGCAAAGATAAAGAGATGATATAACGAGACAATATGGACCACCAATTAGACCGGTTGTGGGTATTGAAGTAGCAAACAACAATGGCACACGCAGGACGCGTAAATGGCAGTTATGGGAAGAAAACAGTGTGGTGATGACGCTGACAGAAGCGACTAGTGATAACGTGATCATTGTGCTAATTGCGACACGGCTACAATGATGGAAAATAACTCACTGTTTTTTATCTTCGGCCATTCTGAGAATTCGATATTCACTTCCTCACAGTCGACCCCAGCCAGCTTGAAAGCCAGCCGAATGCTCTCAGCGCGGCCGTTTGCCTTGAAGTAGTGAAGCACGTATTTGACCATGGTGAAGGGCCTTGTAGGACACTACTGCACCCCCGCTACACCAGAGCTCGACTGCAAGGGTAGTGTCAACGGCACAGCCTAACGAGCACTGTGAAGTACAATGCCATTATCTAGATAGAGCAGTATCGGTTAAGTAAGTCAAACAAGGACAGGCCATGCATTGCTTTTCACTTTTCCCATATCAGGGACAGCTTCAAGGTCGATTATAAAGTAACTGAGGTCGTGTTAGAGTTGAAAATTTAACCAACACAGTTGTGAAAGCTGCAATTAACTGTCCAAAAATTTAATCCGCTCAAATGGATTTATGTTATTTCTAATTCGACTGCAAAACCAGGAGTTCTTTCTAATCCAACGGTTTGGGTGACACAATACAGTTTTAGGTATGTGGCCGCAGTTTTTATTCTACACTTTGGTTAAAATCTTTCCAAAGCTATTTTTCATTGTGTCTCGCCTAATCGGATTATTTTGTTTGGTCCCAAAGGTCTTTCCAAAAATTCCACAAAGCCCATGTAGACTTTATTTGGAGCAACTGTCATTGTGTCGATCTGAACAAAACCTAGAAACGGACAAGCAGCCTGCAATGGTTAAATTTGTTCCTAACGCGGTCATTTTGCACAATCTAGGACCTTAACGAAAAGGTAACCCGACCCAGTAAAGGTGCTCAAATAATACGACCCGATGACCTTTCCCCGAGGTGTCGAGAAGTGCGTCTCCAAAGGCCTGCTCGGGGAACAAAGTGAAAGTAAGGGATCTAGGACTGTATTACAACCAGTTTTCTGCCCATCGTGCTGCGATTACATATCACAAGAACAGGGGCTGTAACGCTGGTAAAGGAGAAAAATTAAAAACGAATCCTCTGAGCTTCACGATGAATATGACTTTTATTTTTTTATCATCTTTGGATTCTCTCAGAGATGCACAATACTGTCAGTCGTAAAACCTAACCACAAACCAATAATAAATGCTAATTAAGCAATTATTCTAGACATGCCAAAATAAGGAGGACTATGTATCCCAATGTATCCTACGTTCCCTGTCTCATCAACTACAGCTATTCCACACACAAACGACAAGGGGACTGATCCCGAATATACCAAATTGTTTTTCTTGTTGTTTAATAGGTTTTATGGGCCAAAAGAGACAAAAGCTGCGTAATGCTACGCGACACCACCAACGTAAGGCAAACAGCTCTTGTTAAATTCGTCAATCATGATCGAGCATTTATAGGCCTTTATTTTCAGAAGCACAGCTTTTGAAAACTATATTTGGTTGTGTGTGTGGGTATAAAACGAGAAGATTAGGATCAAAGGGTGTTACAAAATCTCGGGCAAATATTAAATCAATAGAATATTGGACATGGTACTTCTCCTCAATACATCATATTAAGTGAAGGCTGAAATTATGAGACAGATGGAATAAAATGGGCACTTTCAGACAAAGGTTGTTGCCGAACTTCAGCGGCTAAAACAAAATGACGGTCACTGTTTGTAAACAACGACGACAAAACAGCGGAGGCTGTAACTGATAAACGTTTACACTTTTCCGCACAGGATCGTCGAAATGATTTAACTTCAGATAAAGGAGGGAATTTCAACTATCTATTGCTCTAAAGCATGAAGAAATAGAATCTGGCGCACCTTTTAATCTGTTTCATGTCTCGGTAAACAAGTACTTTAATACAAGTAGAAATTCTCATGTGGAGAGAACGCACAAAGTAGTGAATGCATCTACGATCACCAGGAGGCGCATCTGTTGTTATTTCTCCGTAAAGCTAGCCTCAGGCGGTCTCGTGGCCAGTCTCGCAGCGATTCTGGGGTTGGCGGCAATCCGTCTCCTGAGGGCGTCCAGCTTGGGGAATTTCTCCAACGAGTTGGCGCCCCTTGACAAGACATTCACGAAGTCGACCGCGCCGAAGAAGAAGAGATCAGCGGCCGTTATCTAAGCGAAGAAACAGTGCATAATATGCTGATTTCAAATTGATCAATTTCAACGTGGCCAATCAAAATTTAGTTTAATGATGGACTTTTGGTAGATTTTAAATTCTACGATTTAACATTCAAGATGTAAAGAAGAATGTTCAATCAATTTTTTTTTTGCTTGAATGACTAATTACCGAGTTTCCAACGAAAAAGTCGCCAGCTACTTCAAGGGCGAGTAGTCGCTCTAAGGATGCGTAAATGGACGGGATTATTTCTCTCAAGAACAGTTCAGCCTTGGCTTTCTGAAATACAACCCCAAAACACATATGGTCATATATTAAAACAACCGGCACTACCGATGCGTCTGCGTCAACAAATACCCGGTACCTACACAAAGAACAGATAAGTCATCAGTTTCCTCCTGTCAAGAAAGATTCTACATTATGTAAAAAGTTCGTTGATGCTCTTTACATGTGTTATTACTCCAACACATTTTTGGCTGGGTTCCTACTTTAATACCAGAACTACGTCGAGTCCGTCGAAAATGCGATTAGCCGCTGCCCAGATGTCCTCCACCATGTCGATGGCCTGATCTATGAATGCTGCCTCCAAGTTCGTCTTGCCGTACAATCCTAGAGAAAATAAGGAAGGTGTAAATTGTCATTAGTTGATCGAAAAAGGTCACAGATGGATGAAAAAACACTCTTTCGTTCCCAAACAGCCCCTGAGAATGCAGTACAAAAATTGCTGACATATGCTTGTTTCGAATCTCACACTCAACAGACTTATTTTGTACTTTCGCAGGTAACTTTCCCAGTCGAAAATTGTAATAGTATCAACTAATTCATAATCTTACTATCTAACGGTATACAAAATTATGAATATGTATGAGTGCAAAGTTAATAATAATTTCATGAGGTGACAATAAAATGTTCTATTCCATGGGCCGAAGCCAAGTGGGGTGACACATTTTATTCGTCAACAAATGAAATAATTCTAACCATTGCAGGAATGTGAAACTTCCATTATTTGTTTTATGTAAGACATGCACAAATCCTCTTCTGTTGGAACAAATTGATGGTCCCGCGCATAAATGTCAGATTGTGTCTGAAGCACCACCCACTGGCAGTTTTGTGTAATGTAGACTGGTTTCCCGACCCTACATTATTTCTCTTTCTTACCATGAGGGCGGAAACAAGTCCAGTGAAATAAAGTTCTATTCAACGGACACCGTTGAACAAAACAAACAGTTCAATGATGTGTGATCAGCGATCCACCAATCAGATGACCAATATTCGTGTAGAAATTGTATAAAACGTAATAATTACACTCTGTGCAGATATCGAAACTCACCGAATTCCTGGGCCAAATATCGTAGAATGGCTTTACTCTGACTTAGCATCTTTCCATCAACCTCTAGCACCGGAACGAACCGGGTTGGAAATCCTAATAATTTTCAGACAACCATAACCAAAAACATATAATAAAAACTCTGATAAATTACCAACAGTACAATACAACATGATTGGGGCGATGGCAGTGGTGTATCGCTAGGGGCTTGCTTCTATAGCTTTCTGATTTGATGTAATAAATATATTTGGGTGAAACACAGGGGAAGTTGTATGCAAAAATCCCGAGAGAATCCAATGAATAACGACAAGAAGCTTGGCAATAGGAGCGATTCACAGTAGTGCGCCTCCAAGAGTTTGCAATGCGTTGACCAATCACAAGACGAGAAATCTGTCGACCCTTTCCAAACACACGTTTGGAACGTCGACAGACGTCGACAGATTTCGCGCACTGTGATTGGTCAACGCGTTCCAAACTCTTGGAGGCACACTATTATGAAACACCCGTATTAAATGGAAACTGTAAGGACAAAAACGAGGGATAAAGAGATGGTAATTAAACGAGGCAACATGGACCACCGATAAGACCGGTTACAGATACAAACAACAGGCAACTATGACGGACGTGCCGCGTAAATGGCAGTTATGGAATACCGTATTACGGTCATGACGCTGATGGAGGCGAGAGTGATGATGTAATGATTATTTAAACGATGGGAAATAACTCACTGTCTCTGGTCTTTTCCCATTCGGAAAATTCGACGTTCACTTCTTCAAAGTCGACCCCAGCCAGTACGAACGCCAGCCGAATACTCTCACCGCGGCCATTCGCCTTGAGGTAGTGAAGCACGTATTTCACCATGTTATAAAATGCAGCCCAAGGGCCCTACACCACAACTACTCGTCCGTTAGAAAGGCTCTTTACTTGCAGCAATACTAAGGCTACCTTTTGAATCCAACAAAACGTGTCAGGTTGTGTCGCCGTGCCCTGAACCGTCCCCTGCGGTGAGGGTCAAGGTTGGATTTACTGAAACAGGGTCGTGCGATCGCTCCCTAAAGTGTTTCGGGCATCAAAGTTCAATTCTTGACCTCGGTGTAATCTGTACGGCAACGGCCTCGTCCGAGCCGGCACGTTTATCTGATGGAAACCAAGTGACGTCCAAGCCGCCCGAATCTTTTTTCTTTTCGCAGTGACCTCTAAGTTCCGTATTGGCCATCAGTTATCCGAATTTGCTTTACATATCTTGTTCCTGTTTGCCATCTGCCCTTTCCGCACCCTGCCTTTAGTACGGCACAAAAGGTCAAAAGAAAATCGTGCGATTCAACGGTAATCAGACTTGAGCCGCCCGCCGCTGCTAAACGTTTCTATTTAGGAGGATTACTAATCAAAGTGTCCTTTTGTTGCTCGAGTTGTAATGTTGAAATTGCAAAACGCCAAGAATGACCAAATAAATGGGACAAAGTTGGGCTTCCTTCGTTCAAAACGCAACTACCACACGTTTTGGCCAACATTCCAAAACTCTTTGAAGATTGCCAAGTAAGGGTTTTAACAGCTTCTCTTACAGGAAAAACTGGAACGTTTTATTCCATACACAGACCTGATTTTTGCCGGGACTATATAAAAATATTCCACGATTGGTTTCACACTTTGATAGTGTGATGTTTCTACGATGACAAATTTAGGAGGATGCCATCGACTTAGTCTAAAGTTCGTGAACTACTTTCATGACAAAGCCTGACGCAAAGAAAAGATGAATTCAAAGTATCGAAAGCCTTTGCTACATCCACAAATTACCATCTCCTTTGGCAACCGTTGGTCTACAACTGTTAACCCGCATTGATAAGGGATTCCACGGGCTGCACTGATAATTTTAAATTAACTTGGAATAAAACACAAAATTTCAAAGGGCATTTGTTGAGTAATACGTAGATTTAACTTTATTTACTCCATCTGGATCGAGCCAACGTTTCCCGCTGTTTACATCAACAGAATTTGAGAGTAATGTGCAGTTCTTGGCCGCGAGAAAATTAGTTTTATAGCATGTTGCAATCAATAAGCCTAGATATCAATTCAAAGGGAAAAAATAACCACTGGATGACTTCAAGCAAAATCATTTTCTCAACAAAAAGTAGTTCAATCGCACTAATATCGATTTCAGCCGAAAACAACACAGCAACAGAATGTGATCGATCTCATCTCTGACAGTAAAGGGTAAATTTCCTTATCTAAAGTTCTAAACAAAAGGATAACAGCAGACGAGTCCTCATGGGGTAGGAAACCAGCCACGCTGCAGTTTTGGGAATGACGGCCATTCGGCTCTTTACGGCGTCCAACCTGGGAACGTTCACAAATATTGATTCCTATAGTTCTTTGACCCACCGCGGTGAAGAAAAAGAGACGGGTGGCCCTGATCAACGAAGAGTAACAACGAGAGAAGAACATGAAGAACGTCCCGTTTTCGTAAATTTTAACTTTGGTAGTCTGCATGAGTACTCTAAACCAAGCAGCAATCACTATTCCAGTCTTCAGGAAGTGCTAGTATAACTTTTTCGATCTTTAAAATCCAGCATCAGGTGGTCTGACAGCCAGCCACGCTGCGATCTTGGGGTTGGCGGCGATGCGGCTCTTGAGGGCGCCTAACTTGGGGAACTTCTCCAACGAGTTGGCGCCCCTCGACATGACATCCACGAAATCAACAGCAGTGAAGAAAAAAAGGTCGGTGATCGTGATCTGCAACGACAAAACAACGGCAGGTGTTGACCAAATTACGATAACGAAGCCGGGTCAGTTTGAAATTTAATTTAGTTTGGTTCTTGACGTTTTTGAATAATGAGGAAAATCAGGTATCCTCCTGATTTAAAACAAAGTACATCATTGCAAGGCGTATTTTTCTAATTCCTATTTAACCAAGTACTCCTATTAGTACGAAGATTCCCAGACAAATTAATGAAGAGCTCCTTATAAAAGCAATCGAACTATACTTCCTTGTCTCTGACATGGAGAAGAATAGATTTATTCGAACTTGCAAAAGGGGTGATTTCATACCGAGTTTCCAACGAAAAAGTTCCCAGCTTTTTCAAATGCAAGTAGTCGCTCCAAGCCTGTGTAAACCGGTGGGACGGATTGTGTCAAGAAGTGCGCCAACCTTTCTGCCTAGCGGACAAAATTTCATGTGTTTAAAACCATGTGTTCATTTTACAAAATAAGGACAAGCTCGGGCGTCCTCTATACAGTCACACGTGAACGACCCCTGTGGACCATTTGCTGAAAACAGATTATTACTTCTTACTAGTTGGCTGAAACTCTTGCAGTGTCCATTAATCTGTGATCTCGTACTTTTTTAAAATTTATTTAAATGGTTCCCAATTACTTATAAATGGAGTCAGGTCATAATAAGAAACAGTGCGAACGTTCCCAGGGCCGAGTTCCATACGATCGACCCAATAGATAGTTCAATGATCCACCGCTGGACGTCGTTGGAAGGACTATAGTTAACAGTAATCATTGCTGCGTGGAATGTACCCCCAAGTTTCCAGATCATAGACGATCCTGATGAGTACATCAACAAGTGTATGTGATAACAAAACCAATCCGATTTCAACCCAACCAATTCGTACGTACCCTGGTCTCGGCGGGCCCGCGAAAAACAAGATTAAGTGCCGCCCAGATGTCCTCAACCGTGTCTACGACCTGGTCTATGAAGGCGCACTCCAAACTCGTCTTACCGTGAAACCCTATCGACAACATTAAATTGGGCGATATTCATCGTTAATTGATGGGTCAACTTTTAATTAATGAAAGTCGCCGCTATAAGATTTGGTGCACAACAGGCCCAAACTCAAAGCCTACTTTACTATAGTTTACTATACTTGGAAGCTTTTTCAGGTAATATGATTTAATAAAATGATTCTTGGGTGGTGACTTTCCCAGTCTACTGTTCCGATGATACCAAACTCACCGAATTCTTTGGCCATCGTAAGATGGCTTTGCTCTGTCCTATCATCTTCCCGTCCACCTCTAGGACTGGCACTTGCTGGGTCGGATAGTCTGATGAGAGGAATCGATGCATGTATATTCACAGCTTCGGAATCTTATAAGACTTCATGACTGCTTTCTAGAAATAGGGTTACATACTGCGATATCATTACTGAGGGATGACGCATGTGTGATAAGTGAAGCTCAGACATACATAACACATGTTTTCTTCAGAACCACACGTACCCAGAAAGAGATATCCTTGCATGGTCCTACCGCAAACCTCAGTCGTACATGACATAATGTGTGACAATGCAACGTACTGACTAAAACTCTAGAAAACAATGACAAAATATTGGCCGCCGAGAAGGTCACTTAAGAGCGACAGAAAGGAGTTGAAGAGATTGCCTGACATAGCAACATGGACAAGATCAGCAAGATATAGACACTGACTGAGTGCCATAAGGACCCCGGCCTGGTGGTGAGTAGTTATGACATTCAATTTGGTAATTTTGGTGGTTGTGGTGGCGGTTGATGTGACGATGGCGACGGTGACAACGAAGGGATAAATCGCCTGCTTTCTGTTTCGCTCATTTGCTCAAATTCACTTGAACTTCACGCCGAAAAGCTCGAAAGCCCGTAGTATGCTTCAAGCGAAGTGTACTGTATACTGAGCAGAAGTGCCCCCTCATCGGTTGAAAAGAGCCAGGCGGATGGGGAATATTCATTTTGTTGGTATCGAAGCGACCGTAACGCGTGTATTTCATAATCGTTTGTGAAACAACGAAGTGAGGTTCCCGCAAGTAGGCTACGTTGCTAAGAGCTTGAGGCTCATACAGAAATACAAGAGCAGTATACGCTAATTTTGTAATAAAACAAACACCGGGGAGAAGCAATCCATCTCAAGTACAGTTGCAGTATTTACACTCCCTTTGGTTAAAATTTAAACGGGGAATAATTTTTTTCCCAGCGTGGTAAGCATGATGTGATTCCAGATTTTGGCCAGGATGATGATGAAGATGACAGCAAATATGGTGATGACTGCTACGACAGAGACGACGGCTACAACGAGGAGACTCACTTGGCTTAAACGTCGGCCATTCCGAAAAGTCGAAATTCTTTTCTTCAAAGTCGACCTCGGCCAGCTTGAAAGCCAGCCGAATGCTCTCACCGCGCACCTGCCCCTTGAAATAGTGAAGCACGTATTTCACCATGATATCGACTCCGCAGGACAACAGCACCGCAAGAAACCGTTGTAGGGCTCTGTAATGGGGCTGCCTTTCAAATAAACGTTCTGAAATGCCGATATCTGGAGCGGTTGCAAATATATGAAACTAAAACTGCAAAGCCAAACCATGGTGTTGACCTTTCCTGCCAAAAAAAGAGGTCAGAGTCTCTAAATTCTGAAAAGATCTTGCCATTGCGCGATACGATCAAATACTCGGGTATCAAAGTTCCATCGAAAATGAATAACGAAGCGGGACTCTATTATCATTTAACCGGGTCTAGAATACGCCTGAGAGGGCCATTGAAACACATTACGCGCTCGAACAGTTGGTTCCTATGAAGGCGCTTCATCACAGAGACGCACTGGATGATTTGGTTAAACTCTGCACCACCATCAAGACTACGACAGATGAACGTGCTTTGCCAAACTATTCGTCCAGAATCTGGCAATTAGCGAGCAATAACACTGCAAAAGCTGGGGTGTTAAATTCTCCCCCCGCCCCCGGATTATCAGAGGACTACATCAACACATTTCACTGGTGTTAAAATTCGGTGTTATTGGGTGTTACTTTTAACACTCCCCAATGCATTGTAACATTTATAGGTGTGCAAAGTACCACCAGCATTGTCAAAGTAACACCCTATGGTTTGGTCATCTGGTACCACCAGAAAGTGTTGATTTTAACACCAGAACTTTTACAACAAAAGCCTACCTTAATTTACTGATCAGGGTTAGGATTTCCAGTGTTTAAAAAGTATGAAAAGCACTAACCACAAACTAGGCGATAGACTTTCAAAATTCTTTACATTTTCTTTTTGAAATGCTTCACTCCTTTGATTAAACTGCTCTCACCCGGGCAGGCTCCTAAATGAACTCTCTCAAATCATCTCAGATTTAAATACCCTTTTCTGAATGCGTGTGGTATTGCGTGCACAAGTTGTCTAGTTTATCTAGGTTTGGAGCCATCATATTTGAAAATGGAGTTTTCCTGAAGTAATTTTCAGAAACATTATGCACATGTACGTATGGATTAACCCATTGTTTTTGCTGGTGGAATATTTTGCAGAAAGAACTCCTCGACCTTACAGAAACCCAGTGTTGATTGATACCCCACGGCTAACCGTGCGCAGTGATGCATCTATTTACTGCGTTGTAAGCTGATTGTTAAAGCCATTTAGAATGTGATGCTCTATTATCATAATATGAAGAAAAGGAATTAGTTAATGTGTGGGAAACATGCATGGAAAGCGGAAGTGAATACCTCATATTTTGCCCGTTGCTGAGGTAATGTTATAAACAAAAATCACTCAACCTTTACGTCAGCCCCCTGGAGGTTTCAATCTAGCAGTCAATGTTTCGAACCATGGTAACTGGAATAGCACACAGCATAGCACTCCAAAAGCATAGGCTGGATTATTGCATGTGGATATAATTAAGGAAGCTAATCAAACCGTGTGTGACATCAGTTGGCTACACACTGGACAACCGGGTTAGCTAGCCAAGACCAGCACCAAGGACTCGAAGAAGGAAAGGCACTTGACAAAAACGTAGGTGACAGTGAGATGGATAAGAAAAGAGGACCACGTTCTCTTTGTTCGTCTTTGTATCATGAATGAAATTCTTCATTGGTGCCAATCGCTTTTCAAAAGTCTGTGGGGGTGGACATGTGTGTATTGTTCTTTAATGTAATGTTACTTTAGATGCTTTCAGCAAGTTAGGCTTCCGCTCTCACTACGATTGAGGAATCCAAAGACTGTTAGTTTCCCATAAAGGTATTCTGTACTACTGTAGTTTCAGCCGCGGTAACTTTATGCACAAGACAGTGTTTTTAGGACTTTGCTTTCCAAAGGTGTAGCGCATTGTACCCAGATCGGATAACGATTTCTAGAACCATTTCAGGAGAAAACCTGCAAAAAGTAATTCTGGATGACAAAAACGAGGTTTGATTTCTTCAGCTCTGGGAACAATAAACTGAATTTATGTCCATGTCAATGTTAACGTCTTATGCCTGACGATGACGAATCACAAGGGTTTAATGGGTCCCGGGCGGTATAAGGAGAGGGCACAATTTTCCTAGCAACTGTGCCTTCTTTGGTAGGAAATTCGCTTCGGTGGCTCACGAGCGATTACAAATATGATGTGGTTTTTGCACAGACATGCATGCTTATTTGAGGATTCAAAGTCGCAAAGTAACTAGGGGGTTTTGTTTAATGCATTGTCGATTGTGCGGTTATTAATTACAGTTAAGTTTTTGCATATCCTTGACATGATTTAGTTTTACGGGTAATTTCCTTGTTTGGGTGTTGTTGTTTTTTTTGGGGGGGGTTTCTTGTTTTGTGACTAAGACGTTGTGCCGCAAGTTTGCTTGCAAGCAGTTTGAATTTGACGACCAGACGTGATTCCGATTCCGTTTTGCTAATAGATACGACAGCACATATTTTGGCTTTATGTCACCGAGTGCTCTATTTTGACAGGCCGGCATATTGCACCCATATCATTCACGTGCATTTGTTCAGTATGCCAGTCCTCCATACGCAAGCGCTTGGAAAGAAGTATTTCAATTCAATATGCCATTTTTTGCAAGGATGCAGCTACACATTTACTTGTTCGTAAGTCCAAGATATTTGTGAATTAAATGGCGAGAAATTGAATGTAAGTTGATATCTGTTTCAAATAATTATGGTCTATTCCTTTTTATTTAAAAGGCCTACATTGTGTCGCAGCACATTGCTCTACTAGGCCTAATCGAAAGGTTTCCTAAAAATAGCCTCTGTAAGTCAGAAAGGGAAAAAGACTAATATTAAATTAAAATAATGTAAGTTCATATCTCTGCAATTTGTGACAATAGTTAAACCTTGCTATCGCTGCTAGAACAAGAAATTTTCATTTTAAAAAAATAAAATCACTGAGTGTCGCCTTTTCTCTCTAGTTTTGTTTTCACTTGTTTGTTTTTCCTGATTTCATTGTATCTCTTATTTTTTCTTGGTGCTCTAATTCGACAGAAATATTTTGAAGGTCTTTTATTTTTATCGTCACGTCTCTTATATATCAGTCTTGGCCCTCTTAGCCAAGTAAGGCGCGAGCTTGTCGTGAGCCGAGATGCGAGCCTTCAGAGCCGTCAACTTGGGGTATTTCTCAAGGCCCAGCAGTGAGGTAGTCTCCAGTGATTCAATGGAAGTGTGGAAGTTCAAGTCTGCCATAGAAATCTGGAGGAAAAAGTTGCATTCACCATTAATGTTGCGTTATTGTGGAAATCAATTAAGGCCTTGGCTACTGAGGTACCGAAATTAGTAAAAAAAAAAAAAAGAGCGGTTACAAAAAGCCAGCTTAGTCGGGGTGATCATTTTGCTGGTATTGAATCGACCGTAACGCGTGCATTTCAGAGTAGTTCTAAACTAGCGAAGTTCAGTTCCAACCAAAGGATCCTCAGGAGGAGGTGTTGTTCCGCTGCACATCACGCTGCGGCATACCCCGTCAAACTGAAGGGTTTGCCGTGTCGCATACACTTATTTGCCCTACCAAACTGGCGCTAAACGCAGTGCTTCTACCGTGCGGAACGACAGTAGCACGTCGTAAAGCGTACGCCTTACCCAGAAAGACGTGCCCTTATAAGTCTTTTAAATTTCCCAAAAGTTGAATCATATGTCACCTTTGCTTGAAGCTGTTCGTCTTACACGTTTGTCTGATTTGAAAGATTTGGATTGTTCCTTTCAGCTCATTAACAATGGGTGCTTTTTAATTGTCTAATGAGCCCCGAGCTGGACCAAAAGAGGGCGCAACTTGCCTAACAACGGAGGTTCCTCTTGCGGGAACTGCACTTCCGTGCATGGGTTACAAACGACTATGAACTGCACGCGTTAAGGTCGCATCACAACCGACAAAATGACCCCCCCCCCCACGCACACACACCCACACACACCAACACGGTTCTTTTCAATCCATGAGGGGGTGTTTCTACTCAAGGCAAATTAGGCAGGAGAAGTAAATGAATGTCTCTGGCAGCTCAAACTAAAAATATCCTCTTAGAGGAAGTTTCTTACAATTATTTAACTTTACAAGCTATAAAGAGAGTGGGCGATCAAAAAAAGTCTCTTCATTGTTTTATGAAAGATTGTTTTACCTTCTTTCCGACGAAGAATCCATCGCCTTCGTTGTTCTTGCAGAGCTGGTCTTCCAGAAATCTCAAGAAAACGGGGGCTTTCTCTTCAAAGTGTTTCTTCATCTCGGCATCCTAAACAAACGGACCGAAGTTTGGGCGGGGTCAGCTTAAAAAGAAACGAGTTTAATAAAACTGGGGAAAAAAGCTGACTTTTTTCGGACCATCTAAAAGTGGGGGGGGTCTCCCTCCAAGCTCACAACTGTCCCATGGATTTGTGGCTCTGATGGCGCCCCATACGTTTTTGCAAACATGGTATTTCCAATTTAAACGTGGTTTAATTCCAGAGGGCTTAGCACAAACATTTATTGGAGGAAAATATCAGGAGTCCATCCCCTTAGCTCTTTGGGGTTTAATATGAACGTAGAAACAGGATATGAAATAGGGCAAAAGTCCTAACAAGCAAAGTATGGCATATCATTCTCAGTATCAGTGGCGTATATTTGGGTTTGCTGGTGGGAATGGGTAAATGTTGGGGGAAAAACTTGCCCTGCCATTAGAATTTGAAAATGGGGAAAGGTGTTGACACCATATGACACTATATAGGGGCGATGTCCGCGATACAAACTTGTATTACCTTCTTGCAGAATCAGTTCGTATATAAGAACGACTTATTGCTTTTTGTTCTCCCCTTTCGAGCACTTCTAAAGACATATTGGTTGTTTGGAAGTCCAACAAATTCTTCATAATTCACCTAAAGTTTTTTCTCACTACGAAAAAAGTGGGGAATGATTCAAAAGCCCGTCACTCTGTTCAAATAGTGGGGTGTATATACCCAACATTCCCCGAAATTTATGCCCATGCTCAATACATTAATTCTATTCCGTAAGCCACTTTTATGAAATTCAGTCTTGCTACCTTTTTGGATTTGTCGTCACTGGAGATGATAATCCGAACGTAAGGAAGCCAAATATCTTCCACGGCCCCACTTATCTCGTCAATCTTGGCTGATTCCCAGCTATTGGCACCGTAGAACCCTGTCGAGAAAAAAAAAATTAAAAGACAATTAGCCAGTTCGGTATTCCAACAGCGCACACCCAGCACGAGGCCATTCGGGAACAATAACGCGTGCGCGTGACTGTCCTATCAGCGCAGCCCACTAACGCGCGCGCTTCGTTCCCGAAGGGCCTTGGCTTTTTGAAATTCTAGGCTGGCTTATAACACCCATGGTATTAAATTAACACTAATATAACACACCAATTTTTCAAGTGTACTCCTTCACCCTCTTCGGTAGCTGATCAAGAGGGGGCGCATCTGGCTCAAAACCCCACCCACAGTGGTTATAAGTGTACTGGGGGGGGCCGTTTTCCTGCCTCTGTTCCAAGTAAGTGTTTCAATAACTTTGAAGACCACAATTCAGCAAGATGAAAAGAAAAACTCTACCCCGCTGGTGTATTCGTGTTTCACCCGGTTTTTTTCGGCGCCTCTACCCCTCCTAAATGTTGGGCGCCTCCATTTTTGTGAATCCAATATGTTGTTGTTCAAAGAACATTCTCAACCTTTAATGACCTTGTTAAAAACCCATTGCTTAAATTCCAATCATTTTTATGTGTCCGGTTAATACATCAATCTCTGGTGCTTTCTTCGAGCAACCTACCAAATTCTCTAGCCAGGTAGGAGGCAATCGCTTTACTTTGGATGAGTTGTTTACCGTCAATCTCCAGGACGGGAAGGGCACCTAATGGGACCTCTGATGTGGGCAAAAATATGAGAGTAAATCAAGCGTGATATCAATACTCAAATGGTTCTTACGTAATAGCCCACCAATGGGAGACTTTGAGACGCTTGGTGGCGACAAACATACCTGTCCTTTGTACCAGTTCTGAGCATGCGGGCGTTGTTTTGAGCATGCGTGCATAGTTCTGAGCACGTGCGATACCTTGGAAAAGGACTGGTATGTCTGATGCCACCAGCGCCTCAAGGTCCCAATTTACATAATGTAAAACAAATCCATTTTCTTTGCAAATGTTGCCTCCCTTTGAGCAAATGGCCGGTTTTGAGCGAGGCCGGACCAAGCCGTGTTTCCGTGTGCATGAACCACTCCCTACGTTAAAAGTGTTTCGCACTATTGTCATCGGAAACGTTCACTTCACGTGTGAACACGTTTTCTTGACTTTTCTAACCTCGGTGCTTTAATGAAGCAAACACGCAAGGAAAAGTTATTAAATGCAGGGCCAGATTATATCAAGTAATCTCATTGCCTACGAGGCCTATAGTGGGCATAGTGCCTAGGGCCAAGGGGGGAGGCTGAGAAATAACAGTTAACACGAATATTTAGGTAGTCACAAATGCCTCAGCTTGTCTTCGAGTTTTTGAATTTCGGAAAGCTCCAAACTATAATCCTAGTTCATAGCTTGCTATAATATCCAGAGAGCAGGTAGCCTTTATAAACACATTGACAAACACTGCAAGATTAATGCCGAGGAAGGGATTCAGGCCTTTAGAACACCGGTGGTGCGGGCACAGGGCCTAAAGAAAACTGGTGTCTAAGGCCTACAGAACACTGGTGCCCTGGCACATTACTCTGGCAATGGTCCATGCCTTGCTCCCAATTTTGTTGAAGCCAACATGACAACGTGGAGACTACTTTCACCCAAAAGTAATGTCTCATGCGGAATTTCAACCTATAACGACATCAGCGACACTTAGTCTTTTTCGTCTCAGGCCACTGTTCTTCCGTGATTCGTACGTCCTCAAACTTCTGCCCTGCCACAGCAAAGAGCATCCGGATAGTTTCGGCCCTTCCGCGAACATCAAAGTACGTGAGCTTGTAAGAAGGCATCTTCGAGGTTTGTTGATACGCGGAGGAATGGGTTTGCGGGGCGCCTGGCAGAGGCAATCAAGCAAGTGCTTTCAGGAGAAATTGGTGGCCCTTATGTAACAGGTTGGCCCTAGGGGAAAAGGCACTTCTAATTGCTGATAACGGATATCCCCTGTATTCTGTGACGCCTTGTTTACACTTCGTCTTAGCGTGTTGATCTTTAACCCTCAAAGGTTATTTTGGCTGATCTCACAGCCGGGAGAGGGGTGTTCCGCTCCCTACGAAGAACTTAGTTGTGCCAATGGCATGCACGACACCGCCTATCATTACAAATGTGACTTGACTTCAATTAGAAAAATCATTTTGTTGTGTTGGTCACATGAGCGAGGCTACGCAAGTGCCAACCGGCGTACTTTGAGCACCACAGTGGAGAAAAGTAGATCTAACCATTTTTTGACTGACCTTTGTCTGAAAAATGGGCGATGCGAAACAACAGTACGTTCCAGTTTCGCAAAAGTGATGTCAAAATGACTGTAAAGATTTACTCTAAAAATCTCTTTAAAGGCTCAACTCCTGAAAAAACCTGCGGCGATATCGGGAAAAAACGTCGGGAGGGAGGGCTGGACCTCGCCCACGATTCCTTTAGGGTTAAGCTGGACTACAAAGATTGGGCATGAAGAAGCAAGGAATTTGTTACGTTCCACAAATCAGGGGCATTAAAAGACTGCTACATAATTAAACCGCGCAATTATACAGAAAGTAAGTCTAAACGAATTAGCCACTGTTGTCCATGCATTATAGTCTCTGGTCTTGTACTGATTTAGACTATTTCCGAGGGGGCATTAACAAGTTTGGTCTTACTTGCGACATTCAAAAATACACCCATTTCATATTAAGACCAAGCAAACATTTATGCTTCAATTTTAGACTTTTATCGACAAGTCCGATTCAGTACATGGTCATTAAACAGATTCTGACATAATCCTTCGTACTTTGACCTGCATATCTGATGCGTTGCTTTAAATCCTACGTCCATATCAAAGTTGCAAGTAGTAGTAGGCTTAGTTTCCAAAAGCCCAGCTCAGAAAATGTGGAACACTATGCACTGATTGCCAAAACGAAAAAAAATATAGACCTTATTCAAGACAGCACCAATCATGATCCCTTAATCGCAAAGTTTAGATTTGAGTGGTGCCAGACGATTTTATGATAGCATGTGTTCTGAGGCTCCCTTTAATCCAGGCTCGCTTAATGCACTGACGTGCGTTGAATTGCAAATTTGAAATTATCCATCAGAGTACCTGCACTAATTTGTTGTGACATACAGGCGATTCACAATAGTGCGCCTCCAAGAATTTACAACGCGTTGACCAATCACAATGCGCAAAATCTGTCGACCCTTTCCAAACGCGCATTGAGTGCACAGATTTTTCGCATTGCGATTGGCCAGTGCGTTGCAAACTCTCGACGCACTTTTTTGAAACCACCGTGGTAAAGTGACTTGCCTCGGGCAGTAAACAGGTGGATTTGAACCAGTGACCATCTGTTCGTGAGTCAGAAACCCTTTGCTCATGAGCCATTACATGCACACCAATACTCGGCCAAAACGCTCTGGACGGCGCTGGTTTTATCATTGTCAACTTTAACTGTACAGCCAGTGGTCATACACTTTCCAAGTGACCTGTTTATGAAATATGGAGTTTTGAACTAAGTGAAATGTTCTTAACTTGTATTGCCTTTAAAAAATCCGCCTCTAATTCACACCATTCCAATATTTATATACTTGTGCGTTTTAAAGGGCTTTATCCCCCCCCGGTTGTTGAGACAAGGGATTGAGGAAAATTATGTAAATCGTTGGTACAATGAACCTGCTTGATAATCCCCCATTCCTATTCAACCTTAGCAGATGGTGCAAACAGGCGTAGTGCCAACAAGCCCGACCCCAAAACACTTGAGTTGAATCATAGAGAGTTAAGCCTGAGCTTTCTAGGTGTACTTTTGGCTAGGTGGACAGGCGGAAACGATGATGGAACAGTACATGTCATACACTGTTTACAATCGTATTGGTGCACTATCTTTACTCATTTTTATTAATTACCCATTCCTTTTTTAAAGAGCGGGGGGGAGACGCTTAAATATGGTTAGAGATCCATCTGAACGCGGGAAGAGACACCGTAACGTGTGGATGAACTGTTTGTATAAATTACGATGCAGTAGGACAAAAACTCGTGACTTCTTAGTCTTATAGAAAATATTGGTATGAAACGTTTACCAATGGATAGAGGAACATGTGCCTTTTCAGATGCCACCACGATTTCCCGATTTGGACAAGTTTCAGACCTTATGTGGTCTAATATATTATACGAAGTCATCTTTACGCGGGAAGAGGCCCAGTAACTTCTGGGAAAAGCGAGAATTGCACAAAATATGAGGCAGGAGGACAAGAACTTTTGCCTTCTTTTGCCATTATTACAGGCTTATATGAAACTTACATCATTGGATTCACGAGTTTGTGTCAGATGCCACTACGATCGCCCGATTTGGACAGATTTCNAGAGCCACCTGTGCATAGAGAAACATATCCCCTTTCACCAGGATGGGCTCATTTGGACAATTTTCAGATTTTCCTCAGCTGAGATATGCAGAGTCAACATGACTCCCAAACATTCCACCAACGTGTATACAATGGGGAAAACGCAAAAATAGGAAGCACGACGGACTCAAACTCTTGCCTTCATTCGCGGATTATTCTCAAACCTGTCAAAATTGAGGAAACGGGTATACAGTTTCTGAGTTCTGAGAGGCCTACGGAGTTATCATTCCAAATTTCTGTACTATTAACAAGAAAAGAAAATAAACACACTAACAATCATGTTACGTAAATTCCTCACTTAGGAAAGAGTTCCATATACGGACAAAACTAATCTCCCTTACATTTTATAACAGCCATCAAAGAGTGATAACATGCCCTGAAAAGTGAACTTTAACTGAAAAACCCCGAATCATTCACTTAGAAAACACCTTTTTTCAGACGTCTCATAGGTTTGTGCACAAGTGTTGTCCATAATATTATACGGAACTCTTTCCCCTCGTTATAAGAATGAGAAATGAGACTCCTGATCTGGAGGACCTCACGCTTCAGCCTCGAAGTCCCTCTTCGGTGACAGAATATACAGGAGCCATTCTTGATATGTAAACAAAATAAACCCCGTGAAGTGGGGGGGGGGAGCTAGTGTTAAAGGGGTGGGGGATTTCATCAACTAGCCTTGGAGCGGGACCAGGGTGAATATCATGATCTTGACGCCATGGGAGCAAATATCGTCTGGCGAGCTGGTATAAACCACAGAAATTTGAAAAGCAAGAAATCCTCTGGACCTAGAGCATCACAATTTCAGCTTGGGGACATCGAGGCAGTGCTTTGCTATTGGCGTTATTCCCAAGTCGGTCATATTGAACTGAATTAAAGCGATGTTCACTTGCGCGTTTGAAAAGGGTCGACAGATTTTGCGTATCGTGATTGGCTATTGTGAATCGCCCGAATTTCGGCAGGGGCTCCTGGATTCTAAATTGACACCAAAAATGAATATACGGCGCTTGAATATTTGTGGTCATGTCAGGAGAGTAGTTGCTACATTGCAAGAGCACGGTGGCTCTTGCTAAAGTGTTCTTGATTGTAATTTTGTTTCCACTGAGACTGTCGACGGGGACCACCATCGAACAGTCGGGAGTCGTACATGTACCGTTTCAGAGTTACAAAACCTAGTCGATTGTTATCCCAACATAGATGAATTTACAAATACAAGTTGTTTCGTCACTGCACAACAGTCTTATTTATAATATGCCAGTGAAACAAGGATTTGATTAACGTTAATTGGAATGCTTTGTCTTGAGGGCGCTGCAAAAGGTTGTATAAGGTAAAAAAAATGCTGCAGCAGTTAGAGTTTCACCCTGAATAAATCGATCACCTTTTATTTAAAAAGACGGTGTTAAGTCTTAATCGATTCTCTCCCGTCTGGATGGTACAGCTTGACTTCAGTTTTGTCCTTTGCATCGAACCAAGCTTAAATGGCTCGTGAACAAAATCGATTAAATTTCTGAGGCAACTGGGTTATTTGTGAAAGTGCTGGAGGAAAAAAACATTGTCTTACGCCGATCGGCCGGTCAGAGCTGCAAATGAGTCCGTGCGGGATGCATGGTAACGACAGCATGAAACATTTGTCCAGTTTGATGCCACATTCACCCTGATGTTTGATGTTGTGATACAGTACCATCTGATTGTAAAATTTAAAGAACGGAAGTCACATCCCAATGATGCTGCCAAGATATTCGAGAAAGGTGAGAGGGAATTAGCTGCTTTCCAAAGAACAAATTCCATCCTGTATGATGAATCTTTTAATATAATAAGAATATAATCGTTGTGGGAAGGAAGGGAAAAATGATACCGACTGTAGAGGATTTTACATATCTGACTGCTGTTGTAGAGTGTCATGCACGCTTCCCTCAGGCGGTCAAACTTTTCACGGCAGTTCAAACTTCACTTAAAATAACCAGGGCACATCAGTGTGTACGTTAATTATCACAAAGTTTTCAATTTGCTGCTGGAATATACCCTGTAGACTTATCCGATGCAGCCAGTAACAGTGGCGGGCAAAGACCAGGCAACAATTAATTTCATGAAAAATCAAGTTATTAATAACGTGCATTGGTGGACAACTTTTGAATCTGTGCACAAGAGCTGAAATGGTGAATAAATTAAGATCAAAGCGACCACAATATGCTAAAATGAACCCACATACGGGACGTGCACGGTCCCCAGAAAAACAAAATGACGTTAATGCAAAAGGTATAACCGTGGAAGCTTTTTCCCTTTTTTTTGTCTCTCAAATGCGCTTTTTAATTTCGCAAAGAAATCATTTAACATACATAGCAAACCGTTGCTTTTCGTTTTTTAAAGCATTGCTAAGATCTGCAGATATTTTCAAACTTCTGTTGCCCCCATGCCTGGTAGCCTGCTCAGAAGCGTAACAAACTGTAATTTTTGGTGTCATCCCTTCTTTTTTCAGATGATGCCCATCATCCTGGCATTTCTCTATCAAGTGTTCCTGCTGTGTCAAAGGCTACCAGCAAATGCCCTCACCGACAACCAGATCCGTCTCTTTCAGACCGACAGCCACGTGGAGGGCAACACCGGCAA